TAATAGATTACACTGGATGTTTCTATCTTTTTTTGAAGTAGTTTTTATTGTTTTAATTTCAGATAATTTACTCAATATAAAAATGTTCTCCAAAGCAACTATTTCAATATTATAATTTTTCAGTATATCTCCTACTGTGGACTGATTTATCTATAATTATCTGTTGACACAAGCTGAACCATGCTCTCCCTGACTCTCCTCTTAGTGACCGCTGTTCCCTCTGTTGGACACAGCTAAAGGACGTCAGAATAAAAATGTCCCTGGGCCCGGAGGCAGTGCTGTGTATGGCAGAGTGTCCCACTCTGCCTGTGCTCAGGACGTCCTGTGTGCGGCGCTACCTTGACCTTTGACCCCCGAGCATAGCACTCCCAACAGTCACATTAACAACTGGCACGCTCCACAGTTTCCACAGTAAAAGAGGCGCAGCTCCTGGCTCTAATGGCTTTTTCAGGTGTGATAAAATGTGTGCAATTTACATTATTTCATGTTTTAAAAGGCTTTCTCTATTACCACATGTCGGAAATTACTAGAACACTTTTCCAGAAGAAGCATCAAGGATTAGGAACACATAACACTGTCACTATCCATGGATTTTTGAGATATGACAAATCTGGACTGCTGCCATAACAATTAACAGTTCAAAGCAAAAAAGTCCTCAAAATGGCAACCATGAACAGGAGAGAATAATGTGACTGAAATCCATATATATAGGAAATTTCTCTAATGCCTTTGGCCCGTGCTTAAATGCCAGAGGGGCAATTTGTCAGAAGTAGTGGGGCAACTCCAGTTCAGCACCCATCTCCAGATCTTCAGCTACATTCCTTTAGTAAAGCCGACGTGACCAGCTTTATGAAATCAAACTTTATGATCATGTAAAGGTAACTGTGACATAAACAGCAAAATAAAAACTACTTCATGTTTAAATTTTACTATTTTGTTTTGCTTCTAAAATGATCATGATCATATTTTTTAGTTGGTGGCACGGTGGCTGTCACCTGAGCCTTTCTGTGTGGAATTAGCATGTTTCTCCCCATGTCTCGATGGGTTTTCTCCAGGCGCTCTGGTTTCCTCCATCAACCCAAAATATGCTACATCGGTCTTCAGGAGGAATAGCTGATAGCTAAGGTCAATTAAATATCAATTAATGAACCTACCCAGGGACTACAGGTGGAAATTAGCACTGGTGCTATGACCTGGTACAATGCATGTCTTCTGTTAAGGTGAATATAAATTGTGCACTGTCTCCGTCTCATTAATATAAATACATACATTGAAAAATTGTTGTTAATGGTTATAATGTGAATTAATTGTGATAAGTGATTATTAGGAGTGTGCAAAAATATTGAAATATCGGTATATCATATCAATTAATGTGATGATACAGTATCGATATCATTGCCTGCTGTATTGATATATCCCCAAGAGTATTTTTTGGTATATTTTACAAAATTATTCTGTTGCAGCGTTACAGTTAGTTGTTTGTTTAGAGGAAGGAAAGTTGTTTATACAACACATTTGACATATTAACAGTTTCGATGATTAAACATGGGTGTGTTCCATATTAAGTTGGCACAAGAAGTGGTTTAACAAAGACTATTAGTATCACAGCCATAGGGGTGCCACGGTACATGAAAAAAAACAAACCATTTGGTTCGCTTGTCACAGTTCGGGATGTGCGCGTACCACACAGTTTACATGGTTCCCGGCTTGCACATTGTAGCCTCATGCCCGTATGTGACTTGTTTCTCTTTGACGCAATAGAAGAGGTGTGGAGGGTGGATGCTGCGCGTCACGTGTAGAAATGGCAAGTAGGAGAGAAGAGGGCTGCCAGGAGATGGAGGATGCACCCGTGTCGTTACCTCCCGAAATCACAGCCGCGCGTCAACGTAAAGGCGGCTCCACCGGCAGCTGCAGCAGGACATACACATGCAGCACTGGCTCTGTGTTTATCAATGGGAAAGACGATCAAACTTGACAGGGCCCGTTTAGCCGCTTGTATCAGATCACAGTGAAACTAAGGGCCTGGTTCCACTGCACACGTATTTCGCTCTATGCGAGCGTAAAACCTGCAACTTTTGGACACATAACTTTTAGGATGCATTGAAAGTGATTGAGCAGCACTGGAGCAGCACACCCTGCGTGTGTGTCTCCGTCAAAATACACAGAGAGCATGAATCTTTGGGTGTATTTGTGCATTTACCATCAGCACAACTTGCTCTTGAGCCATTTCTGTGTCGTGTGTAAGAGCCCAGAAAGACTGTTAATAAGTGCTTTAAAATGTACTTTTGAAATCCTCGCGTATGCTGTGGTGAGCCTGTACAGAAGGAAAATACAAGTCTGTTCAGCTTTTAGTTTCACTGTGGACTTGATACAAGTGGCTAAACGCGCCCAGTCAAGTTTGATCGTCTTTCCCCTTGACAAACACAGAGCCAGTGCTGTGCGTGTACGTCCTGCTGCAGCTGCCGGTGGAGCCGCCTTTACGTTGACACGTGGCTGTGGTTTCATGAGGTTACGCGCGTAAACGCTGACGCTTGCAGTGGAGCCAGGCCCTTGACTTTGCAGCCAAGAGTGCAATCTCACTAAACCAAGTATCCCGACTCCTGAGGAGGGTTAGGAAGGTGGTAAAATTTTTTCACCGAAGCACAACAGCTGCCTATGTCCAATAATAATGTACTCCATTCAAGTCAAGTCAAATTCAGTTTGTGCATGATTACAATACTAACTATAATTGTATAACTTTTTTAATGCTGTATCCTACATTGTGGATAATTAAACTAACATAGCATATGTTGAAGTATATTTCTGGAGATTAGAGATTAAAAAGAAAAAATTACAACAATAACCGTACCAAACTGAAAACCGCGACCTTAAACCGCAATATGAACCGTGAATTTTGTGAACCCTGCCACCCCTACACAGCCATGATTTAGCCATTATTTTTATTGAAGCATATCAAATCGACTTGAAATATATCACACTGAATTGTATTGAATCAAAAGCTCACTGTATCGAGGTATGTATCGTATCGGCAAATTCTTAATTATACCCAGCCCCTAGTGGTTATTTATAAACCGATTCATCTAGACATATCTACTCAGGAACTGAAGCAGGGAGAGTGGCCAGAGTTTTGTTTGTTTGACTGGTCACTTGTCTGGAGATTTCAGATTTGCTTTCTGTGTAAACAAAAGCATAAGACTGCAGCTGGACAAACCAATTACACACAGTAGGCAGTAATATTTTGGAATCCCTCAAGATGAACCTCAGTCCAAGTTCACTCTCAGGCCCCAGATTTCTGAATTTACACCAGATGTTAATTGTTTTCTATTTATCTAGTAGTCTGTGTAGTTCATACTCATTTCAGCATTAAAATTCCCTCATACAGCTAACCAACTTTGATGAAGCAGACACTGTTTTTCACCTGAAACTGCTATTGTTCAACAAACAAAAAGCTGGAGTCTTTGCGCCCTCTGCTGGTGTATTATAAACACAGATGCATTTGTTTACCACAGTGTTTATTCAAAGTGAAAGATCAAGGATAAGATGTCCTAAAGTAAAGGCTGAGTGCTGTAATGTAGAATATAGCTACTGCAGTGGCGTATGTGGAGGTGTTAATCTGCTGTGTAATAAACAGGTGCAGAGTATAACTTTCAACCTGTAATGCCGTTATACTCAATGCCTCAGATACTATTGTAAGTATGCATCATAAATAAAACATATGCATTCTTGTGGCTCAGCTTTCATGTCAGCACCCAGGACTAAACCAGGACAAAACCAGCTACCATCTCCCTTAGGCAAATTACTTATACACAGTAACTCCAAGAAAACAAACAAAACATGGTATAAATGGTATACAAGTCTATCTCAAGTAATTAGAATATCATGGAAATGTTCAATATTTTTTGCCATTCTTTTCAGAAAGTCAAACCCAAGTATTGTGTAGACTCATCCAATCCAATCCAATACACTTTATTTATATAGCACATGTCACAGTTTCCAAAGTGCTGCACAAATACGTACTAATAACAACAATAATAGTATAGTGATCAAATAAAATCTCAGATTTAATTATACTATGCTTAAATTAATAAAAATAAAAATAAGAGCAAAATCATAGAATAGCAATTTATACATTATATTATATATTATTATATTATAAATATCAATTTTTCTTTTATAAAGAAGCATTTTATGGACTGATGTGGTTACTGTTATGTTTTAGTTTTATTTTGTCCTCGAGTGATGTAGAAAAGAGGGAGCCACTGTCTGTGTGAATGTTCATGCATGTTCATAGAGTGAAATATTTCAAGTAATTTTCTTGAATTTTTATGATTGTGGCTTATAGATAATGAAAAAACTAAATTCACTGTCTCAGAAATTAGAATCAATCAAAAAATGATATTAGACTTCGGAAAAATATGTTAATTTCTATGGACTCAATATTGGTTATGGCTCCTTTGGCATGAATTACTGCATCAATGTGCGGTGGTGTGGATGTAGTAAGACTTTCCTGACATCGTCTCTTGTGCCATATTGGCTTCATCTGTGCTTACTGGCTATTGATGCATTTACTTCAGCCTCAGTCCACTACTTATGAAGCTCCTCCAAGTTTTTGAGTGGATTTTGTTTGACACTCCTCTGAAGGCTGCGGTCATCCTTTTGGCTGGTGCGCCTTTTCCTACCACATTTTTTTCCTCCATTCAATTTTTTTTATGAATATCCCTGGATACAGCTCTCTGTGAACAACCCGCTTCTTTGGCAAGGCACATTTATAAGTTGTATTTGTTTGGTTTAGTCTTGATGTAGACTTGGTTTGGTCCTGGTCTAGTTCTATTTTAGTCCTATGTTTAGTTCCAGGTTTAATGTGAAGTGTGAGCATCTTCTGTAATGAAAACTAAAAGGCTGCCCCAAAACACAACAGACATTATCTTACAGACAGATTAATACCTGTGAACATCACCGTGACAGATTATATTCAAGGGTCTTCTCTTTTCTGTCCACAGCGTGTCCGAGCGGATACTTCAAGCCTCTGTCTGGCCCCGCCCTTGCGCGCTGTGCCCCCCCAACAGTCGGACCAGTCTGGACGGAGCCTCTGTGTGCGAGTGTCGAAGCGGCTTCTACCGAGCGGCCAACGACGCCAACTCCTCTGCCTGCACTAGTGAGTCACCCGGAAACACTTTGAGTGATTGAAATGATGAAATTATTTTTTAAACGCACAAATTCCAAGTCACGTCTTTGACAAAGTTACTCGCAGAAAATTACAAAATCTGCAATAGTTTAGGCGGAACAAACTTAGTCACCGACTTTTGACACTTCTGGTATTACACTAAAGTAGTACAAAACTTATGTCAGCTTCCAAGAAATAAAAAGTGTTTAGTGCAAAGTTTTTTATCTGCCAGACTGTCACAAAGTTTCCTCTCTTAGTCAATTACTTTTCCAGTTCAGAGCTAAGATGTTAAACTTTTTAGCAGACGCTTTCATCTAAGTGAGGTCCACATACATTATGGATGTGCAACTGCTCATTTAATTTAGTGCTCTCTGCAGCAAGGCACCCTAGAGGTCTCACTGGTATTTTTCTTAATTTAAGTAGGACAAAATGAAGACTAAGATGGGGCTAAACGAGGTCTGAACCATGACTAAACAAAAACCAAATCAGGGCATGAGACACCACAAAACAAATCTAAAGAAGAAAATTCACTAATCCAGGTGCAAACTAGTCCATGATTGAATGAAGCTTTAACCAGGGTCAAATCAGGACAAGACCACAACAAGAGTAGGTTTTAAGTGGGACTGAACCAAGACTTTACCATAACTAGACTAGGGCTGGTATCATTAAGAAGTTGCCGATACGATACATACCTCGATACAATGAGCTTACGATTCGATACATTTAATACGATGCATTTCAAATCGAGTCGATACGATAAAAAAATAAATAAAGCCTAACTCATGGCTGTGATACGAAAAGTCTTTGTTAAACCACTTCTTGTGCAAAGTTAATATGAAACACACCCATTTTAATCATCAAAACAGTGAAAATGACCAAGGTGTGGCATAAAAAGGTTTCTTTCCTCCAAACAAGCACCAAACTGTAGCGCTATAACAAAATAATTTAGTAAAATACACCAAAAAATACTCTTGGCAATATATCTATACAGCAGCCCATGATAACGATACTGTATAATCACAGTAAACAATAACATATATCGATAACCATAATTCTAAATCAGGATCTGTACCAACCAATTAAATCCACACCAGCACTAAGTAAAAGTAAATGGATTAAACCAGGTTTTACCAGCGTTAATGAAAATGGAAATATGGATCTAAACTAGCATTTAACCAAGAGTAACCCAAGATTTAGCCAGGACTAATCCAGGGATAATGCAGGGCTAAACCAGGACTCAACCACAAATAAACCAAGCAACACAAAGCAAATGTAAATTTTAGTCAGAAAAAAAAAACAATGAGTCAGAAAAAAAACCACTGAGTCAGAGAAAAAAAAGCAAACACCCAGAAATAAACCAGGATTAAACCAGGTCTAAGATAGTACTATTAATATGGACATACCATATCTAAACTACAAATTAAACTGGAATAACCCAAGATTTGTATAAACCAGATCTAAACCAGGACTAAACCAATATTAAACCTGGTTTAAAACAAATCTAAGACAGACCTAAAACAGAATTAAACCAGGATTAACCCAGGACTAAACCAGGTCTAAACCAAGTCTAAACTTGTACTATTATTATGGACATAACCATATCTAAATCACAAATTAACCTGGAATAACCCAAGATTAAACCAGATCTAAACCAGGACTAAACCAGTATTAAAAATGGTATAAAACAGATCTAAACCAGGATTAATCCAGGCCTAAACCAGGACTAAACCAGTATGAAACCTGGTATAAAACAGAACTAAGACAGATCTAAACCAGGACTAAAGCAGGACTAAACCAGGTCTAAACTTGTACTATTGCTATGGACATAACCATATCTAAACAATGAATTAACTAGGAATAATGCAAGATTAAACCTTGTGTAAACCAGATCTAAACCAGGACTAAACCAGTATTAAACCTGGTATAAAACAGATCTAAGCCAAACCTAAGACATAATTAATCCAGAACTAAACCAGGTCTAAACCAGGTCTAAACCAGGGCTAAACCAGATCTAAACCAGGTCTAAACCACGTCTAAACCACGTCTAAAACATTCCTATCAACATGATGTAAGTTCATTTGTCAAAACTTCTGCTTTGCCTGCAGCTCCTCCCTCTGCCCCCGTGGCCCTGACCTGGGAATACGAGAGCGGTGATGGAGGCGTGTCTCTGAGGTGGCGCCCCCCGCTGGACATGGGCGGTCGCAGCGAGGTGTGGTATGGCGTGGTGTGTCGGATCTGCCCCTCGCCTACAATTTCTAACCCTGCCCTTTGCTCCTGGTGTGGGGAGGGGGTCACGTTCAGCCCCTCTCAGACCAACCTGAAGCAGACCAAAGTCACGCTCAACAACCTGCTCACCCGAGTCACCTATCTCATACAGGTACAACACACCACACTGTAAGGAAGAAAAAAATAACTCTATACATTATTTTTACATTAATAAGTAAAAATACTAACACTGGAGCTGAAAAAACTGAACAGTGGTACAGTTTTTTGTACAGTTCAGTTCATAATTTTGGCCTCATATATACATATTTTTGTATTTTTTAATGATTATTTAGTATTTTTGCTTTTTGTGATTTTTTTTTTCTTGTGAGATCTTATCCCTTCCCTAGAATTCACTTTTTAGACAAAGAATATACGTATATGTTAAACAGAGGTGTGCATTGCCTTGAGTTTGATGATTTGCATGTCACGATTCAATATATCCTGATATTAAAACATTAAATGATGCGATTTATCAATAATTACTTCTAATAAAACTATAATTACTTACAAATAATTACTTCTAATAAAACTGTCAACTACACCTTCAGGAGAACACAGTATTTATTTATTTTTTAAAATCATGAGAACAGTGAATGTAACTAATACATTTTTGTGAAAAATATTATTTTAAATATCAATTCAGATACATTTTGAATTGATTCGAGAATTAAGTATGACGATATATCACTGAATTGATTTTTTCTTACACCCCTAATGTTAAATGAAGTGTATCTTGATTAAGAATTGTGCTGATTCTACCAAACCACGTCAATTTTATTTATTTTTTTCTTATCTGGAATGTTCCACAGTAAGGCATTAAACAAGCATGCATTTACAGGTGTATTTATTTGTCAAAATTTTTTTGAAAAACTCTATAAACTCAATAAATCCTACCTGTAACTTACCCTTGTCGTGTTACATGGTTGTCGCTTGGATATAGATATGGTTAATGCCATATTATGGAACATTTTAGGCAAAGTAATAGTATCTCCATGAGGTGGCATAGTCTCCACCACAACATTTACATGTAACCTGGTAGTTTGTAATTTTCCCCCCTCAGCTTTTATACATGTGGCTTGTCCAGTTGTTCAACACAGTGTCAACCTGTTTTTTCACACATTTCCTGGAAAAGGGGAGGAGAGGATCGTGTTTTTTTTCCTCACACAGCTCAAATACATAGTTTTTAAGTGGCCATACTGTCTAAAAGATTAAACTGAGTAAGATCTTTAGCCTGTACTGCAAAATTAGTACATTAAAAATATTTGTCTAATCTGGTTTGTTTTGTATATAGTATATGTTTTGTGTATTCACTGGTTTAAGATGGGACATAACCACAAGCCTATTGATTTTTGCCCACCCCTGCACTATAACCTATGTTTTATATTTTATTCATAAAGGACAGATATTTCTTCATGTCGTAGTATTTCCTGAACAGCTGACAGAGCAGAGGCCGTCCGTGCGTCTGCTTCTTCAAACACTGCGGCGCATTAAAGTAAATAAAAGGCTTTGGATTTCACGTGCGTGTGCTGTGTTTACTGACAGGTGCAGGCTATGAACGAGGTGTCTGCTCTCAGTCCTTTTCCAGCTCGATACACAAGCATCAATTTCACCACCAGTCAGTCAGGTGGGTACAACAAAAGCAGCAACACAACACGAGGCCAGTGAGATGAAAGGCAAAACAATGTACACTGTAAAAAGACATGTTAAACTAGATGTATTCATGTACGGTCCGCTGGGTGCGAGTATACTGTAAAAATACAACAAAATAACACAAAATCAAAGACAAAACAATGTACACAAGAAATACAGTGTGTCAGGAGGGCTCAGGTACACTGAAAATATACAAAAATACAAAACAACAGGGCGATGAAAGATGTGGAAGCTCAAAAAACAATGTACACTGCGAAAAAGATACTTAAGATGATACATAAAACTAGATTTATTGATTTTTTTCATTTATATTGGCTCTGTATTCGGCCAAACGTGAAGATTTTTGCAGTAAAAATTACCTTCATTACCTTATTTTTATCTTATTGCAATAGGGAATTATGCAACAAGGCCAGCGAAATATTTTAAAAACTTTTTCAGCTTAAACGTATAGCCAAAAACAACGTACACTGCAAAAAAGATACTTAAGATGATACATAAAACTAGATTTATTGATTTTATTCATTTATATTGGCTCTGTATTTGGTCAAACATGAAGATTTTTGCAGTAAAAATGACCTTCATTACCTTATTTTTATCTTATTGCTATAGGGAATTATGCAACAAGACCATTGAAATATTTTAAAAACTTTTTCAGCTTAAACATATAGCCATTTTCACCCAGACGTATAACTCATTATATTTACATTGTTTTACTTAATGTGCGAGACCAGACTGAGCTCTGTTTAACTTTTATTTATGCTCTACTAATTATTCCCTGGAGCTCTGTAACATCGCCCCCATGTGGACATTTGCATACTGCTGCTGCTCAAAATCTTTCCAGCACCGTGAAGTTTCAAGTTTCTTGTGCATAAATTGACAATCCCTTTTGGTTAAAAAAAAAATGTGTATGAAAAACCTGTACTGCCTTATTTATCAGTCTTGTATACAACTCCTGGGTCTTATTAAGTTAACCTTGGAAGAAAATAATTGGCATGTAATCTCATACTACCTCCTAAAAACATCTCCTAACGAAGAATTTGACACGTTTTTTCATTACGCATAAAATCAAGAGTAGGCAGACCTCCACCCCGCAGGAGCACTGGAGGTTGTGTGGAGAAATGGATGCTGATCACACACGTATTTTGGAGTTGCCTGAAAATTAGGGTACATCGGGAACAATTAAACGCAGCCTTAACTAGTATTCTGGGTTATGGAATTCCAACCACTTGTCTTGTGATGTATCTGGGAAATATATCAGATGTAGTGAGGAAGCATGACATGTATCTGACAAAAATTGTTCTAGCTGTGTCTATAAAATGGAATTACAAAGAGTTGGTTGCAACCAGATCCACCCGCACAACGAGACTGGATCAGGATTGTGGAGAGTATTTCAGTGATGGAAAGAATAACATATAATCTTAACCCTTGCATACTAGTCGGCTCAAATTTGACTCGTTTTGACATTCAAGAGTAGTAAAAATACGGTAAGCATCATTCTTTTATCCTGATATTTGATGACTTCTAAATTTTGCCAAAATAGACAAAAATTAAGTTTTTGTCTGAGGCTGGTTCAGGTTTAATCCTGTTGAGATGGATTTTAGATCTATCAGTGCGGATCAAATGAAGGAAAATGGAAGTTTTTGAAATCTTGAAACTGTGAAATTGTACAGATCGTTTGTGTATATTTTTTTTATGGGACAGTGTTGACAGAGTTCAAGAGTTCACTGTTTTGAGATTCCCCCATGTCCCAGGTTTCCAGAAATAGACACTTGTTGGTTTTTGAAGGGGAAAAGGGGGAATCTCAAAACAGTGAAAGGAGTGATTATCCTGGAGCACAAGTCAGAACACAAGTCAATCAAGGGGGAGAGAGAGCTTTTCTTCTTAGTTTGTTTTCACTTAGGACACCGCAGTTGTCTTAAACATGCAAAAGAAGAAAGATGAAGAAGAAAATGTGAAAAATATGCTCTTTCTGCTCTTTGAAACATTATATTTATTAATGTGGGACAGTCAATTTAGACATTCTAAATAGATATGTTGTTCAAAATTTGGCATAGACACTTACTATGAGGGAATTCTTGGTCCGGGTCAAATTTAACCCAAACCATATAGTGAAGGCTTAAGAACAGTTTGTAAAGGTTAAACTGAAAGGGTATAAATATGATGAGCAATGGGAAAAGTGGAATACATTCATAAATGACACCAGTAAAACAACATCATACATTAAAGTGTCATGACCAAATGCATTTTTAGATAAGAACCCGTAACTCCAAACTGTTGTTACATTGTTTTTGAGTTATATTGTTTTTTGTATAGTTTGAAATGTTACCAATAAAAGCAAAGTACCAAAAAAAAAAAAGATCACCTAACATTTTAATATTCATTAATTGCCCAAAAGGAAAATGCCATAAAATAAACTGCAGCATCAGAAGACATTGAGTTAATTGTGTTAATTCAAGTAATTATTTATTTATTTTTTTTTCTGTGATAAAGGCCTCCAGTTCAGCATTGACTTTCTCCCTATGCTTCCTCCACAGTCCCCAGTATAGTTCCCATGATGCACCAGCTGAGCCGCGCCCCAGACTCCATCACTCTGTCCTGGCCTCAGCCCGACCGGCCCAATGGAGACATCATGGAGTACCAGCTCCGCTACTTCGACAAGGTGAGGGGGAAAGTTCTTGGCTCGTACTTGAGGGAAGAAATTGAGAACCACTTGACTAGATGATACAAAATTAGAAAAAGAAACTGTTTTGTAATACACACCTCCATATATTTTTATATTGTTGGTTTTCATGAAATGTTGGTGATCTAAGGACTCATCCTTTTTTACTTCTACTTTTGTAGAAGTAAAAAAAAAAAAAAACACAAAAGAATGCAAAATAATAGATACAGAACTGTAGCAAAAAGCACAACTAAACAATTAAGGTACAAAAATGGTCACATTAATTCTAAGTAGTTCAAATGGCGTGTAAACTCTCTAGTGCAGTTTAACTTTCTTGAAATTGTTATTCTGTGATCGTGGACATGGGCGTGTGCAGGAATGTGGGTAAACAAATCTGCCTCATGCTGCTTTGTATTTTTCCCTCTCTCTCTCTCTCTCTCTCTCTCTCTCTCTCTCCTTCTCTCTCTCACTCCCCTTCTCTCCTCTATCCCTTTCAGTCCTTTCTTTCTCTCTCTCTCCCTTTCTTTTTCTCCCTCCCCTACTCATTTTCTCTCTCTCTTTCTCCTCTCTCCTTCTCTCTTTCTGTCTCCCTTTCTCTCTCTCTTTCTGTCTCCCTTTCTCTCTCTCTCTCTCACCCTCCCTTTCTCTCCCTCTCTCTCCCTTTCTCTCTTTCTCTTTCTCTCCTCTCTTTCTCTCTCTCTCTCTCTGAGCTCTGGTCACTGGGCTAAAGAAACCTCAGGGTCACTGTGGGTCACTCCTGTCAGCTCCATAAAACACTTCAAAATGACACACTTAATTATTTAGACAGTTAATGACAGGATATCAGTATAAGTATATTTAATCAACCAACTTCTTATGAACTTTATATTAAAGGTGCACTGTGTAACTTTTCTGGTGGTGGATATGCTTGCTTGTTTCTAAGGTGATATTTTGTGATATTTTATGTAGCATTTATCCTAACAGGTGTTTTTATTGATTTGAAAAACCATGCATTCTAACTGTAAGCAATGCCGCCTCTTCACAGATCTGACCTATAAGTTGGAGTTCTTTCCTGTTTGTCTCTTTAGAGATAGATACTGTATGTGTAATAGCACACTGTGGAATATTCCTGGTAAAGCCATAGCATCTCCATGGAGACGACAAATTGACGTACGCTCTACCAGTAAGGTTACTTAGCGCACCTTTATTACCACAATTTTTAGTAATTAAACATTCAGGGACGAGTAAATAAAATAGTTTGAGTAGTTATTATTGTAAAATCAAGTAGGAAAATTCCAAACAAAGTGCAGAAGTTTTACCAGAACAATTCAACTATCTGTTAGATCTACCGTGACTAGAAAATGCTCACGTGTTCAAAAGTGTAATGGGATATCTGATGGGGGTTGTGTTTTCACGATACAAAACTCCATTTTGATTCTAAGTAAAAATCTTGATACTTGATACTGATTTTGCTACAAAATGCAAATAAGTAGTTTTTTTTAAATCACCTCATGGCCTTGTTCTAGTTCTGATACAAATCAATTCAAGACAAAACTATTCAGCAAATAATGCATTTTACCTATTTACCTGTTTAAATGAGCATCTGGTATTTGGGTGGTTGCTTGTTTAATTTGCACCGGACTATAAGTCGCACTTTTTTGGGGAAATTTATTTTATAAAATTAGAGATCAGGAACTGACATTTCATCTTTCATCAAGTTATAGTAATAACAATAGAAGAGAGAATAACAGGGTGTTTATGTCACATATGAACAGTTCTTCAGATAATTATAGCATAAACAACAAAACACAACAAGTTTACCAAAGTCTCCATTTCACTCCAAAACTCTAAATCTATTGAATTCTTCATCCTCAGTGTCACTTCTGAGCAACTCTGTGACCTCCAGAGGTAATCGGAGCGCCGCTTCCTCTTCTGTGTAGCTGAATTATTTCAGCCTTTCTGAATCCCGACAGGATGGTTTCAGTTTTCACTGAAGTCATTTAAATTTTTTATTTTCAGTGGTACAGAAGTAATGGTGCGATCGACTGACAGGATACAGACAGAACAGAGGCTTTTCTGCAGGAGACATGTGCAGTAGAACCAAGTGACAGTAGTACAGGAGTAATAGGAGCATCAGATACTGACACACAAGACTAGAGCGCCCTCTTGAGTCTGTCAGTGTGAAAATTTTATTATATAAGTTGCACCAGAGTAGAAGTCGCAGTACCACCCAAACTATGAAAAAAAGTGTGACTTATAGTCTGAAAAATACGGTAATAGGAGTAACGCAACTGTATAATGTGATTCTTTCTGATCTAAGAAATGCTGAATAAATACTGTTGGAAAGGATTAAAAGAATGCAAAACTACAGTAACACCTTAAGCAAACTGTAACCATATAGCATCATGACCTTTGCCCTTTGCCCTGTGTCTCAGGGGTCAGATGAGGACAGTGCTCACACCATCTTCAGTGAGACGAACACAGTGAGTGTGGGCTCACTGGTCCCCGGCTCCATCTACGCCTTCCAGATCCGAGCCCGAAACGAACGTGGATTTGGACCTTACAGCAACACCATCTACTTCACCACTCTGCCCCTGGGTATGCACAGTGTTATTTTGTGTTGTATATTATGAACATTTCAAGACTTTTACAGAGATTTGAATTCAATAGAGAAATTTTTTTTTAAGTTGTTTTGGGAAGTTTGCTTACTACCTCAACCAAAATGATCTGTAGCACAAGATACGTATGTCACTTATTGACTTGAATTATTAGGTTTGACATAAATGAAGAGATGTATTTATTTTTCCTTTACTTATAATAAAAGCAGGGCCAAATCAGACAATAAGACGCAGATAGCTCTCAGTGGTCTAATTTTATCAATGCTAAATCTGCAAGAAAGAGCCTTATTATATGTCATTAAAATACACTTGGGGATGAGAGTGGGGTGGTTGTGTGATAGAGGTCCATCCTGCTTTGCTTTAATATCTAAAAAAGGTGTTTCGAATCTGTGGATGAGCCTGAAAATGAATGTTTTTTGTTATTCTGGTTCTAATTTAGACCTTGTTTAGTTCTAATCTAAACCTAGTTATATCATATGTTTGTCCTCCTCAAATCAAAAAGAAACGACCAAATCCTAGATCTTTCACATTATGCAGTTGTTCACAAATAGACTTCATTAAAGTTTAATTTAAAATGCGCCTGGTTTATTTTTGCCTTGTTGGCTGATATCTTATGCATGTTAACGTGAACAGCTCTTCTCTCCGTGTTTCAGAGGAGCACTCCCAGCAGATCGAGCACCGGCTGCCTCTGCTCGTGGGCTCCGTGATGGGAGGGGCCGCCTTCCTCCTCGTCGTCATCGCCATCATCGTGGTCCTGGTGTTTCGCAGGTGGGTCTGGGATTTAGGAGTCTTTGGTCTAATCCTGGTTTAGACCTGGATTAGACTTGTTTATATCTTAGTTTAGTTTTAGTATTTGTTTCTTCACTAAGACTTTGCCAAGACTCGTTGTAGTACCATTTTAAACCTGGTTAGGTCCCGGTTTAGCCCTATTTTAGACCTGGTTAAATCCACTTTTAATCCTAGTTTGCATGTAGTCCTGGTTAAATCTTAGTTTAAACCTTGCATAATACCTGGATTAATTTTATTAAACCATGATTTATCGTGTCAAATGTTATTCATGTGTCACCTGTAATGCTTCCCACTTAGACAATACTTCATTCTCTCAGACGCGCCTTTTAGATCCATGTGAGCTCATTTTAGATGAGTCATGAAAACTTGCAAAAAGTGTAGCTGCTTATTTTTATTTATTTATATTTGTCGTTTCCAGTAAGAGAAGAGAAAGCCCATACAGCGATAGACTGCAGAGATACATGAGTAACAAAGGTAGGTGGTAAACTTTGTTCGTGTACTTGAAAAAAATACATATCAAATTTAAAAAGACTTTAACGCACCTTAAAGGGCAGCATTTAACAAACACTGCATGGACATTAACATTAACAGGCATCACAATGACATTCACAAACTGGCTCCTTTTAAGGTAGAAAGATTATTGATAATTTCCAGGCCTGCAATAGCTAGATTATAAAAATACCATTGAGGTAATATGTTGGGGTCAGACATTACAAAAATTAGGTATCTTGAAAGAACGCAGATAACATAAAGGTAAATTAATAAGAGAGACGGAGAAAAGGGAAGAGTACAGAGGGTAGAGACTGCAGATATCTGCTCAGGCCGGGTCACAAAGGCAAGGCAGGTGTGGAGGACAGTGCTGCGCTTTAGACTTTGAGAGTTTAGGTTAGCCAGGAGTTGGATTGAGCTGTGAGAAGCTGTAGTATATCCAGAACACTGCAGCTCGGGTCCTGACTTGAACTAGGAAGTATGAGCACATAAGTCCTGTGCTCAAGGCTCTGCACTGTCCCCTGTAGCTCAGAGAATAGACTTTAAAGCGGCTCTGCTTGTGTACAAGTCTCTCCATGGCAGATTACCAAAGTACAGCTCCATCATGTTAGTATATGAACCATCTGTACTCTGAAGACCTCAGGGACCAGCCTCCTGCTGGTGCCCAGAGTCAGGACTAAACATGGGGAGTCAGCGTTTCAGATTTATGCAGCTAAAACCTGGAACAGTCTTCCTGATCATGTGAGACAGGCCTCTACTCTGATGCTATTTAAATCCAGGCTCAAAACAGTTTTGTTTAGCTGCGTATGACAGAAAGGTTTTCATTCCGCCCTCTTCTCTCTAATTTAATGTCTTTCTGTCTTTTTAATTTTATGATCATTTATGTTTTGATTTGTTTTTATTGTGATTTTATTGTATTTCTTATTTTGTAAAGCACTTTGAATTATTTTGTGTATGAATTCTGCTATACAAATACCCTTGCCTTGTCTTGATTCTCCCAAAGATGATAGGTTTAGCCAGGGGTTGGACTGATTCTCCCAAAATGTGGCGTTAAAATCTATTAAAGTTGCACAACTGCATGGTATGAACTCCACTGTTTTTGGGCAGTGAAACCCATTCACACCAGTCCCCCAAACCCTATATTTTGGGTATGGAAGAGTGTAGACAGATAAGGGCAGGGGTCAACACCACACTCCTCCTGTATTCCTCCATGCCTGACGTTATTTGACATTGTGTACGTCGTTTGGGATTTACACCCATGTACACAAGGATTTAAATTCAATTCAGTTTTTAGTCATAGATTACCTTTCTCCAAATAAATGAAGACATAACATACATACATAACAATTTTTATTGTGTACAGCTTGAATATTAGCAGTAATTTGGTCCACGGTCATGAGTACAAAAAGTCTCAGACACAATGAGGGGGATACAGGAATTGGGAGGGAAACCAAATTGATAAGTTTTAGCATAACCCCTTCCTAAATTTTGTATCAGTGGACATTGCCAGAGACTAAATCGAGTCTTAAATGTGATAAATATCCCATTGTCAGTTATATTCTCAAGACGAGTTATGCCCTTACTGTGCTTTTTGTTTTGCAAGAAGTCTGATTTATTCCAGATAGGTGGAAACTGTCATTTTAATGAATTCCCACCAGGCTTAGAGGGCGTGCTTATTGTCATCTAGTCAGAACACTTGTGCCGTTTAATGAGACTGCTGATGAATGGTAGATCTGCCACTTTTGATTCCTGTTTTTTACTTTATCCAACCATGCGTGTGTCCACATTCATATATGCTGACGTTTATTGGCTAAATAAAGTATTAATAGTAAAAATTCAGTTTATCTTTCCATAAAAAAATGTTTAGACACATGAATCTAATGAAATGAGAAAGATTCCTCCTTGTTGTAGGTCATTTTTGATTTGTAGAGTAGTATATGATTCTGAGGCTGGTGAAAACTGTGATGTCCATGTATTTGATGTTGGTTGATTGCAGTGGAATGCCAGGAGGGCTCCGGTCCAATTGATGGAGTAATCTGAGATTGAAGAGAACTGATCTATAAAGGAGACAGTTTGTTAAAGAGAGGAAGGACATTGAAGAGGAGAGGAAGAGTAGTGCATCATCTGCTTAAAGACTTATTTGTGGTTTACAGTAGCAGTTTGGATACCTTTAAAGTAGCTGTTCTGATCATTCAATAAAGATAGAAAAACAATGGAAAAAGAGGAAAACCTTGACTGCTGCCTCTCTGAATCTTGGAGAGATTCAATCATGTTTGTTTTGTTTGGTGTAGGGTAAGGTGTAAATAATTTAAATCCAGTCAATAAAATATTTTCCACATCCAAACTGATGTAATGCAGTGTAGACCGTCAGCTGACCGCAGGCGAAAGGACTGGCGTGGAGCACCGCGCCCCATGGGGCTAAGCACAGCCGTCGCCTGATCGCACTTTGTGGACACCCTGCTCTATGGGCTCCGCGTCCCTAGAGGTGCAGGAGGAATAGTTTCCCGTCCCACAGCAGCAAAGGCAGAGAGAGTTGGGTCTGGAGAACAAATAGTGCAAGTGTTTTCTAAGTGTGCTCCCATTGACATGTATGTGAGTCTGTTGACCTATCTCTCTCTCTGTCTCTCTCTCTCTCTCTGTCTCTCTCTCTCTCTCTCTCTCTCTCTCTCTCTCTCTCTCTCTCTCTCTCTCTCTCTCTCTCTCTCTCTCTCTGTCTCTCTCTCTGTCTCTGTCTCTGTCTCTCTCTCTCTCTCTCGTCTCTCTCTCTCTCTCTCTCTCTGTCTCTCTGTCTCTCTCTCTCTCTGTCTCTCTCTCTGTCTCTCTCTCTCTCTCTGTCTCTCTCTCTCTCTCTCTGTCTCTCTCGTCTCTCTCTCTCTCTCTCTCTGTCTCTCTCTCTCTCTCTCTCTGTCTCTCTCTCTCTCTCTGTCTCTCTCTCTCTCTCTCTCTCTCTCTCTCTCTCTCTCTCTCTCTCTCTCTCTCTCTGTCTCTCTCTCTCTCTCTCTGTCTCTCTCTCTCTCTCTCTCTCTCTCTCTCTCTCTCTCTCTCTCTCTCTCTCTCTCTCTCTCTCTCTCTCTCTCTCTCTCTCTCTCTCTCTCTCTCTCTCTCTGTGAGTGAGAATGACAGAATCAGGCTGAAAAAATAAGATTCAGAATCAATTTGTGGCACTGGATTTTCATTCTGTGGCGCTGTGCCACAGATTGGTTTATGTTTGGGAAACACTGTAATGTATAAACCAGAAATGTCCAATTTAAACGATCAAATGCTTTTTCATCATCTAAGAGCAGAATGATAGCTTCAATTTCCGTTGTGGTCTAATCTATTTTATCTAAGAGCCTGGACGTGGGAGAAATGGACATCCTGTACATTTTTGTTTTCCTTTAGGTGGGGTCAAATATTATGTGGACCCGTCGACTTATGAGGACCCCAGTGAAGCTGTTAAAGAATTTGCCCGAGAGATCGACCCCACACACCTGAAGATCGAGGAGGTGATTGGAGCAGGTAAGTTTCATCACCAGTGTAAAAGAAACAGCATTGTGTTTTTAGTCAACTGCGATTATTGCAAACACAAATCCCAATATCTTCCTAAAACTTCCTAATCTATTATTAAAAGAAGACAAAACATTTTCAACATCTTCCCTCTTTTTGTTCTCAGCCCAGTTTGGAGAGGTGTCTCGTGGGCGCTACCGTCCTCTGGGCCGCAGAGAGGTGCTGGTGGCGGTGAAAACCCTGAGGTGGGGCGCTTCTGACAGAGAGAGGGGCATGTTCCTCAGTGAGGCGGGGGTCCTAGGGCAGTTTGACCACCCCAATGTCCTGAAGTTGGAGGGAGTGGTCACACGCACCACTCCTGAGAGGATCGTCACCGAGTTTATGGAGAACGGACCACTCGATGCTTTCCTCAGGGTCAGGACAACATTTATTAATAAATCATGTTACTGTTAAATGCATTGATTTGAGGACTTTCTCCCCATTGAAAAGATATAATATTTTTCCTTTAAATTATTAACCACTCACCATTTACTCCCTCCTCTCTTCATCCTCTCAGGAGAACGAAGGCCAGTTCAGTGTGCTGCAGTTGGTCGGGATGTTGCGAGGAGTGGGAGCAGGGATGCGGTATCTTGCAGAGAGAAACTTTGTTCATCGAGACCTGGCAGCTCGGAACATTCTGGTGAACTCCAACCTGGTGTGTAAAGTGTCTGACTTCGGCCTGTCCCGTCTCATGAGGGGGCTGGACCACAACATCCCAACATACACGGCATCACTGGTATGTCACTCTCTACACTCTTAGATATATTGTTGTGGGTCTAGATTACTTTGTATTATACTGGTTTTCAATAAAAGTTAGAAAGTGAAATATTACAGTTTCACATGTACTGCAAAAACTACTTGGATGGATAAATTTACTTTAACCTTTATATTATCTTTTGCATTATAAAAAAAAAAGAAATAGAAAATATACTCCAATCTTTTAACAAGTAAAAAGAAATCACAATCTACAATTTTAACACAGTAAAAATATGATTTTTTGTAGTGCAATTAATTCCCCAAAACATCACATGGTCTTAATCCTTGCTCCTGATTGGCTGTTGGACAGGGAAGCAAGATCCCGGTGCGGTGGACAGCTCCGGAGGCGTTCCAGCACAGGAAGTTCAGCTCGGCCAGTGACGTGTGGAGCTTTGGTGTTCTGATGTGGGAGGTGATGTCATACGGAGAACGCCCCTACTGGGACATGAGCAACCAGGAGGTCAGTGCGAGGAGGACTGAATATTGATAACACTCATAATTAGCCTTTAATTAGTCTTTATAATACATGAACTGAGACTTGATTCATAATGACCAAAAAGTTTATTAAGAATTATTCAGGTTTAATAAATACTTTAAGGTGTGGTCAGCATTGAACTTATCTACCTCCATGGAAACAAGCGGGTGATGTTATCAGGCCAAGTTAAAGGTCACATCTGAGGACAGGCAAGTCCGCTCACAGTAAGAATGTTGCATGTTTTCAAGATCATTTGTGGCAATGAAGTGAACCAATATAGGAAAATTACAAAGGGCATCTTTAATAAATATCTTACCCTGAATTAAGTAGATAACAAACCTGAATTATTCTTTATAAACTATTTCTTTATGATGAATTTGGTTAATTCTTACTTGAGATGTAGTTAGTGGCACATGTCCAAATAACAATATTGTATATTGTGGGGTTTTAACAGGAGATGCAGCATCGATCAAGGCAAAGCAAGTGTATTTATATAGCACAATTCATACGCAACGTAATTCAAAGTGCTTTACAGAATAATAAATACATTAAAATCACAATAAAAACAAATCAAAACATAAATAATCATCATGAAATTAAAAAGAGAAAGAGACATTAATTAATTACATAAGTTAGAGAGAAGAGTGCGGAATGAAAACCTTTCAGTCATACACAGCTAAACAGAACCTTTTTTGAGTCTGAATTTAAACACTGTCAAAGTAGAGGCCTGTCTCATCTTAGGGAAGACTGTTTCAGGTTTTAGTTGCATGAATCTGAAACGCTGTCTCCCCGTGTTTAGTCCTGACCTGGGCACCAGCAGGAGGCCGGTTCCCGAGCTCCTCAGAGTGCAAGATGGTTCATATGACACTAACATGTCACAGATGTACTTTGGTGCTTGGCCATGGAGACACTTGTACACAAGCAGAGCCGCTTTTAATCACAGGCTGCTATATCAACATATCTGTATTCAGATGTTTTGTATGTTTCACAAGTTTTTGTTGTGTATTTAAATAAAGTGATATATATCAATTTATATATCAGTATATACTTTTTTTTTTTTTATATTCCTCACTTTCCACTGTTGTTGGAACTCTCTCCCTGTCATCCAGCTCTGGTCCTTTACCAGAGGCCTTGGAGCTTGAGAATTCTGCGCAGTATCTTTGTTTCTAGTACTGCACTTTTTTGGACTGAGATGTCTGATGTTTTTCCTGGTGTCTGCTGATGCTCTCACCTTCCAGTCCTTCTCCAGCTGGGCGAGATGTGAGAACAAGGCTCTGTTGGACTACATACATATGTTGCAATGATTTGTATATCAATCACTGCAGCATCACCGTGATTTGACATTTTCAGAGAATCTTTATAATAATTACACCTTATTATTTATTGCATATCAGTTTGCATCATGAGGGACCCTGTGCTTGCCAGAGGTCGGAGTGGTCATTCATTTACCAGACACGTTTAATACCAGTAATGATTGAGCAGGGATTTGCATAATGTGGTCTCTCTCTGCTCAAGTGTAGGTGACCTTTACAGGGCTGTTCAACACGCTCTTCACACCTTGTGCCTTATTAATGTCTAATTCTAAAATATTCACTAAGGAGGAGCTGATATCTGGAATAAATTGGATTGCACTGAATTATGAACTGTATATGAAATTAAGGATGGACTAAATTACTTTTTGTTAAGTTTTGCTTTAAAGTTCAATAATGATTTTTTTGTTTTGTCTACTTTTTGAGCCAATACCAAAATCCAATATTCTTCTTCCTGTTGTGACTAACATAAAAATGATTTAGTACTTGCTGATACCAGTATTAAACAGTTGAAATTCTTAGCAAGGAACATACATTTATAGAAACATTCACAAATTAACTTTTCCTTTTTTTAAAAATGATTAAAGACGTATTTATCTGGGATATAAAATAATGTGCTGCATGATTGTGTAAACATATAGCCCTATTTTTTGCCTAATTGCATAATTTTAACTCAAATAAAAAGAAGTGACACCCTGGGAAACCCTCTGACATCATGCCTACTGTTTTATGTCTGTGTTTATTTCTTTTGTAAAAACACACTAGCCCCATTTCTCTTCATGTACAGGTGATGAAGGCAGTGGCTGACCAGTTCCGCCTTCCTGCCCCTCAGAACTGCCCGGCGGCGCTGCACTCTCTGATGCTCCAGTGCTGGCAGGCCAACCGTGGAGACCGGCCAGGCTTCGACGTCCTCCTCTCCTCATTGGACAGACTTATCCGACACCCCGCCTCCCTCAAAGCAGAGCCCACACGGTCAGGCTCCCCCTAACCTGGATTTATCCAATGAGAATTGCAATTGGATATGTGGTTTATCTTTTAAAGGGCCTGTACCTTTTTTCCATGTATAAGCAAAATTTGTCTCGCCATAATTCAGATATATTGTTTAAGCAGCTTGAGGTCAGAATATGTCTACTGTGTACTGTTTGCATCAAATAATACAGAGCTTTAAGTTGTGAAAAGTGCTTATAAACTTGTGGTGAATAATTAGGATGCTCTGAATGCATAAATTAAGCAAGGAATAACTCTGGACCACTGCAAACCATTTAATTAGTTTGAATTTTTACTTTTTTATGACTGGATTCTGTTCACAGTTTAGAAAGAATTGACGAATGGGTCTGGTCAAGCGGTAACGGAGGGAAACAGGGGCAGATTTTTTACATTCAAATAGTTCTTATTCAGAAACTAGAGGGACTATTGAGATAAGTAAGGTATCAGAATGTAGGAAAGAGTTAACACTCCAACAGGGTAAAGTTAACCCTGCGATATTCTTTCAAGTTGTTGACAAAAAATTTAAAAACTCATGTTGGTAACGGAGGTAATGAAATATGCAGCACTTTTTGGGCAATAAATACAAACAGCGATAACTATCAGTTCTCAGTTACATATCCTTAATAAACTTTAACTGGTTTGAATATTTGCTTAATATAGTTTTCTACCATATGGTACAAGATTAGGTTGAAAAACCTCTTACTTTTGGAGTAATGAGATTTTTTATGAAGAAAGGTCATGGTAACGGAGGGAAAAGTAACAGAGGGAAAATTGTGCAAGCAAGTAGAAAGTGCATGATTTTCCGAATACTATAATATTACTTCAAAATGAAAGGAAACTATTTCTATAAAATATGTCAGTCCTTCCAACAAAATTTTTATAATTTTAAATACATTTTTTTTGAAAAATCATGTACCTTCATCAACAGTTCAAAGATCAAATAACACAAGATATGATGAAATACATCAATTTATTTACATGATTTGCAGGTCTTTCAGATTTGGGAAATAATTTTTGTTCCATGTTGCATACATGGTCTGTTTAAAACGTATGTACCTTTAGAACCAAAAATGGTACAGAAAAAAGGTAAACGGTTTCATAAACTAGAGTACATATGCTATCTGTTGAATACATTTTTATATCAGATGCATTAACTTGAATTTTTGGCCTTGCTGTGTACTTCTGCTTCTGCTAATATGAAATATGAACTGGCGTACTAATATAAGAATTACATTTCAGGACATGTTTATACTGTACACTACTGGCCCAGCAGTTTTTTATCAGAATAAGATAGGATGTTTTGTTCTGTTTTGCTCTTCTACAGAAGCTGCTCCCAGCCGCTGCTCAGCCCCACCCCCACAGACCTGTCGTGCGTGGCGACCGTCAGTGATTGGCTGAGGGCACTGAGGCTGGAGCGGTACCAGGATGCATTTGACCGCGCCCACTTGGACTCTTTAGACAGAGTCAGCCGCCTCACCATGGAGTAAGTGACCACAACACATATTTGGTTATGACTTGACACTATTTTTTATCGTTTATTATTTCACTTATTCCCAGTTTAACCTCTTTCTCCCTCTCTGTCTCAGAGAGATGCCGGGGCTGGGGGTGAACCTGATCGGGCACCAGAGGAAGATCGTGAGCGCCGCGCAGCAGCTCAGGGCGTTCCTGGCGCAGGGGCAGGTGGAGGTGTGACCCTTGTGTACTTCAGTTCTGTTGTAAATGGTACCAGTTACCATGGTAATCATCACATGGAGCATGTTTATGCCACTGGACAGTGCTGTCTGATAAACTGGGCACTTTAAAAAGAAAAAGGGGAAAGGTCAAATGGTCTGGTCCCAGTGTGACTGAAGAGAGGTTCTGACTGGACCAGGAACTGTTAAAGATCAGAACTCTGAGTTCTTCCATGTTTGTCACTGAACTTCACTTTGACTTCGTCCTCACCCATCTGCTCCTACCTCCGACCCACTCACATCACTGCTGCATCCAGACATGTTTTTGTACTTTATGTAATTATCGGACAGATCTCCACTCTGAGAACTGCGGACAGACAATCAACCTATATATTTGTAAAAAATGTATTACTTTTTCTTACCTGAAAGGCCCAATTCTGTGGAAAAAAAGAGCAAAAAAGGCTGACCTTATACTACCTACTGCCATGCAGCTTGTGTTTAAAAAGCTCTCAGTGTTATTAATGCTGCAGATGTTTGTTTGCTACAGTTCAATGATGACTTGTTTTTCCTGTTTTTGGCACATGTCCAGAGCGGCTCCAGGAGCACTGAGCTGCAGCATCTCCTTTGTACATTTCACTGTTTGTTTGGTTCAAAGTGAAATCACTGTCATTGAAGCATTGTGAATGTGTGCTTTTGGAGGAAGAAGAAAATGTCATTTACACTTTACTGAAGAGGGTGAAATGCTTTGTGCGCTGTTGTATGTTTGAGTGTTCAGATGTTCAAATGTGACCGTGAGATTGGAGTGTGTCGGGCTACACACCTTAGATGTGTTTACATGTTCACCAGTATTCCATAACTGTGCAAATTTGTAAAATAAATAAGAATTTATTTAATAAACTTCATATTTCACTATTGTTTCAGTGCACATTGCACATTGTACGCACCAAAGATCAGGAAAGAATCACATGCATTTCATACTGCAAGCCAAGTGGGTTTCATGCATAGTAATGTTGTGAGGAGACAGAATATTTTGTTTCAGAGGGCAATACCTAAATAACAACTTTCTAATGTGACTAGGGCCGGGCACGTTAACGCGTTAATTTTGTGTTAACTAATCAATTCATTATTGCCGACAATTATTTTATTTTGAAAAAGTCCACCGTGAGCGTTTCTTTAAGTTTGATGTCTTTCCTTAACACTTTTTTCACTTTTTTCTGACCACGTGAGATGCAACGTGTCCGAGCCTCTGCGGTCGGACCAGCCGTGGGCTCTGAGCTTCTGCAGGCTCCTAGCTCCAGCCGGGCCGCGCGCTCCGGTTCATGGGTCTTTGTCTTTTCCTTCTTCCAGACGCCCCTGAGGCGTCCAAACAGAGGTGTCTCAACAGAGGTGTCCCAACAGAGGTGTCCAAACAGAGGCGTCCAAACAGAGGCGTCCAAACAGAGGTGTCCCAACAGAGGTGTCCAAACAGAGGTGTCCAGTGCGGTTTTCGTCGCTGTGGTCTCACTTACATAATGCTGTCACAGGATATTTGCGAAGGCCCGGAAGATCTGATATCTAATATGATCCCGCCCATAACTCAATGAAATATGATTGGCTAAGACAACTGTCAATCTCAAACCTCGTTCCAGCCACCGGTTCAGCGCTGCAGGGAGAGTCACTGATTTACCCAGATACCACTGGAAGAAAAATTGTGATTGGTCCATTTCTATTCCATTATATTAACTTATAAAAGGTTATAAATAACCTTTGTTTCCCAAGAAATATCAGTTCAAGTTTATAACAATGATCTAAATATTACATTACTAGTGTTGTGTTTACACTTACGCGGCTTTAATTTTCAATTAATTGGTTTTGTGTATAACATACGATTAATCGCGATCTCACTCAAACTCATGCGATTAATGCGATTAATATTTTTAAAATTTTTGCCCAGCCCTAAATTTGACAATTCTCAATTTTTCAAATTTCCTTTAAGTTTTTTATCAGTTTAATCTTGCCAGCAGCCCTACTCGTGTCACCTTGTAACAATGTTAAGGAGTCATCTCTTTGGTCATGGTTTTGTTCTGGTCAGCACTTTGAGAGGAATCGCTCTATGACATCTGCCTAGAGTGCGTTTCCCACAATTCACTGCTGCAGATGGCTGTCAGGTGGGCCTGATAACACAAATGCTTACACATGGACACTGTGTCATAGGGGACTTTAATAGGAAGAGCTTTGTCATGCACAGCCCTGATGATCTGATTTTAAAGGAACAGTGTGTCACCTGCATGAGTCCATGGAAGTTAAAACTACTTTAGAACATTCTCTATTAAATGTTTAATGCCATACTGAGGAGCAACAACATTTCCATGGAAACAGGCAGAAAATAAACTTTCTCATATTTCAATTATGTTTTATTTCTGCAATGCTGTTCCATAGTTACTTACAAAAATTGATAAGTTCATTAACACATTATTATTAATTATTATTATTATTAATAAGATATTGTAATTTAAAGAAAATAAGTATGTTCAGTCTCTGTTCTGGTATCTGTTGATATCGACAGATTGAAAAGAAAAGTCTGAGTCTGGTCGGGTATACGGTATCTCTACCATTGTCATTTTTGAAATAATCAAAAAACATACTGAAATATTCACTGTCAACATAATCTGCAATACAAAACCTGCACCATAGGTAAAATGCTCCAGCTAAAGCCAAATTTATAGTTGTGCATCAAACCATCTCCAATCCAATCACCTCCGAAATTTTGTAACTACGTGTCGAACCAGCGCAGACAGTAAGGGAAAGCGATGCAGACAGTAAGGGATGTGATTGGTTCTCTACATACACTTCCAGTACTCCGCTTTCCCGCTTCATTTTGTATACAGAAACACAGTCCTAACCTCGTAGCGTTACATCGCAACACAGGCGATTTGATGCATGACCATAAATTGGGCTTTTGCTGCAGTATTGTACCTGTGGTACATCTTTTGGGTTGCAAATTATGTTGACTTGGGCGTTTAAGGAAGTGCTGCCAAAGCCCAGCTCAATATCTGGAGATGGTCCACTGCTCCTGACAGGCTGCACCATTGGCACTGAAGGATGAGTCAAATGCAGAGGACAAACTTCCCTATAGGAACAATTTACCTTAAAGGGTCAATATTACACTATTTTCTGATCCATGTCACAGTGTTGTTCTCTCAAACAGAAAACACTCTGTTCCACCTTGTGATGTGGTAATACAGGAAGTGCTCCACCGTGTCTTTAAATTTCATACATCTTCACTAGAATTATTCAGCCCGGGAGTGATCCATCTCTACTGAACTAAAAATAAAAGGAGCTGTTAACATGAAAACTATCACTTCATGACATCACAAAGTGGAACAGAGCATTTTGAGCTTTGGAGATGTAGACAAACTAATAATAAAGGGTTACTCAAACATGTGTGAATGAAACAAAACACACTCCAGATCTGTTTTTGAGGAGGTAACAGCATTATAACAAGACTTACATTAAAGCTCATGAGAGACAATTTTGTGCAATATAGGATCCTAAATCCTAAGCTTATATTAAAGGGACAGTCCCGAATTTTGGACATTGTACCTCATTTCCTAGTGAGTCAGAGTGTTGGAGACATGTGGAGACACTTTTTTAAATATTCCATCCAGTCCTTGTATTTGCAGAGGTCACTGGTGCTAGGCTAGTGCATGTCAATGGCCATAGTTATCCTGCCACTAAAAACAGTCTTACCCACTCCACAAAACACCTGAAGCAAAACAATTACTAGGCCAGACTATCGATGTAAATGTCTGTGTTGACAGAATAATTTCAGAAGTAAAACCAACCTTGCATTTGAAGGATTTATGTCTGAGCAGCAGCACCGAGTTGTACTTCCTGATAGAAAGCTTGGCAGTGGTGGACTGATATATGAAAAAATAGTCCCTCAGCATACAACGATTCATGCAATACAAGGTTAGTTTTATTTCAAACAATATTCTATCAACACAGACATTTACATCGATAGTCTGGGGTAATAATAGATAAGACTGTTTTTAGTGGCAGGATAACTATGGCCATTGACATGCACTAGCCTAGCACCAGTGACCTCTTCAAATACAAGGACTGGATGGAATATTTTAAAAAGTGTCTCCACACGTCTCCAACACTCTGGCTCACTAGGAAATTAGGTCCAAAATTCTCGACTGTCACTTTAACAATATATAACCACAATTTTAAATGTAATGTCACTCTGAATTAGATAAGAGACCCTTTATTTGTCCCACAACTGGGAAATTTCAGTATTGCAACACACAGTTCAAGAACAGCAAGGGAATAGAATAGGAACAGGCACTTCACATTGTCAACATTGTCCACATATATTAACATTAACCCTCTGAATAATAAAACCTGCCCACTTTCCTGTCTGGACCACAGTCGTGTGTTAATACTTGTTTTTTGTTGTTCTTTAACACCTTGTGACATGTTGTTGTGAAAAACTCTACCGGACACCTGTCTAAAACATAGGACGCCCTCACCACAAACTCGTGTTTTTAAGCTGTTATTGTTTCCATATAAAGACGGCAACAGATTGAAAACCACTGGTCTTTACGACGCTGCTTAAACATAGGAGTAGCAGGTCAGTAAATAACTATTATGTGCACTAAAGTGAATGACAACTACATTAGCAGGGCCTCCCATAGTCAGTGCACAAATCCTGTTTATCCTGCGGTGCCCGGGCTTCTAGTCATCGCCTATAATTGTCCGGCAAAATACCAGCACTTCACCTTTGTCCACGGAGCAAATATCTGCACTGTAAAAGAAAGACTCAGGGCATTTTTAGGAGTTCAAATGACCTTAATTCACAATATTTAGTAACTTGTTTGAGGAACTTTGGATAGATAATGTGTAGGTCAAAGTTTTCATTACTTGTTTTCACCAGTTTCAACATTATGCTAGAGGTAGAAAACTGAAAGTGTTCACCACTTGTTTGCGTTCATGCACATGTAGGCCAAATTACAGGTCAGATCTGTGGAGAGGTATAGAAGAAAGTATTTTTGATCGCTAAAAACCCCTGTAATTGACTGAATACAAGATGGATTTGTTTAATGTAGGGATGCACAAATACTGAAACGCGAATATCAGTGCAGATCCAGGAAAATTTGCTGGATCAGGTATTGGTCAATATCAGTTCTGCCAATATCCTGGTTATAAATTGATATAAATGATGGTATAAACATGGTATAAATTGATGTAATAAGACTAATTATTCTTCATAGTTGGTCCAGAAAGTCTCATAATGTTAAAATGTTTATACAAAGCTGTTCTGTAGTTTCTTGACAGATAAATAACAGCTACATAACACATTTTATCAATATACTGTATAAATTTTAGGAACATACAGTCTATGTTTAGTTCTGCCACTGGTATTGGTTGATATGAGGTATCAGCAGATAAACCAGAGGTCATCAAACTAAGGCCCGTGGGCTGATTCGGGCCCACCATGCCCCTTTGACCGGCCCCCCAGCCCCCTCTGCCCATCACCACTTGAACTGGTCCTATGAGACAATCCTCAAAAGTTGTCATGGCCTATTTTTTTTTATTGCTTTTTGGCAAATTGCATCTTGTATTTTGTAGTTTTTTTCAGTTATTTTTTTATTTATTTACCTTAAGTATTTATATTTATATTTAAATAATTATATGACATATTCAGATTTAATGCAGAATTTTCATCACCTGACAACCTCAAGATCAAACAGTAAGAGTCGACGTACAAGCAGAGTTCTGTAGTGCAGTTAAGGGCAGCAAAATGGCAAGTGTTAAAGTACAAAAAGTTGACAGAGGGTGCTGAGCTTTCAGAACAGAGGACGACCTTTTTTTTGTTTAGTGTAAGGACCGTGCAGTTTGTCTAATATGTAAAGAAAGTGTGGTGGTTTTCAAAGAATATAATCTGCGTCGTCAGGGTCGTACAACTCTGTTATACAACTAGCCCAACCCCGGCCCCCATCACAGGCAGGAGTGACAATGTGGCCTACCAGACAAAAAAAATTTGACCCCTGCTTAAAGCTGTAGTATCAGTATCCGAATAGGAACTGCATCTCTAATTAAATGCCATAGTGGGGAATATTTCATCAAGTAGGTGGTGGACCCTCCAAAAAAGTGTCTGTTACAAAACAATTTTTTTTATTATTTATGAATTGCAGTTAGTTCACCTTATGCTGATTACCCCAAAATGTGAAATGTTAACTCTAAATAAACACTGTATATGATGTCACTTGTTTTTCCGTTTGAATATTTTATGTTTAACGTCATATATTCAGTAGATATAATTTTTCTACAGTGCATTTGGTCATAAACAGAGCGACAGAGAAACTGCTCCTGTTGAATAATGATGCTGTGACTATATTTGGACTTTTGTTTTCAGGTCAGCGAGGAAAGTGAGGCGGACTTTTCGGACGTGTTTCTGCCGACCTCTAAATGACGCCTTTGTAATGTGGTAATGATGGTTTATAGTGTTGACACATGAATGATGCTGCACTCTTAAGTCACTATGAATGGGACAGACTGAGGCACTGGCACAAACAGCTCTGAAAATCACCTTACATACACTCATTTCAACTATTTTCACTTTTACATCACCATTGTTTAACAAGTGCATAATTATAGAACATAACAGGTCTCATTATATTAAAAAGTGGAATATAGACTGTATATTTCTTCAGTTACACAAAATAAAAAAAAAACAACCTTTAGAAAATCTCTGACCATGACCAACACACACACTTGGAAAGGTGGGTTAAGTGACAGAACTTAATTAGAGCGGGAATTGATCGAATGGGTCCACTGCTCTCACACAGCTCATAGATATGCTGAATGCAACACCGTGAAAGATTCCAGGCACAGCTTAAAAACACGGAGACTAGCAACTGGCAGAAGTTACACACTGCCTAGGGTGACCAGATGTCCCTATTTCTCTGGGACAGTCCCAGTTTTGAGCCCCATGTCCCCTGTCCCAGCAGATTTATCCAAAACCATGGATTTGTCCCAGTTTTGTGTAAAAAATTTCCCTATTTTTAACCAATTTGATGTTTACTAACAGTAAAGAGAGGCACACATTGTCATTTGTTTAGGTTAAAATACAGAAAAGCTGCTTGAAAATGATCAAAACACAAAGAAAATGTGACTATACTGACTCATGTTAGTCGTGAATGGACAAAGTGCAGAACTGTTTTACTAAATTATACACTGAATTCACAAATGTATTATTACCAACCACCATAAACCGGGGGTGTCTCAGTTTTTTATTTTGAAAATTTGGTCACCCAGCAGTGCCCCTTTAGAAAAATAGACATTCAAGTACATTTAGAATTAACAAAAATCAAACCAATCAAGAAATACTAGAGGCCAAGTGGGTTTGCATAATAGAAAAAGAAAGAAAAGAAAGAAAGGAAAAAAGAGAATTTTGGAGATTAGGTTAAAAAGCAATATATGTGTAGAAATACCATTGTCATCGTCATTCACTTATATTCACTGTAGTGGACCAAACTGAAAGGCAAACACAAGGTATAAAAATAAGTTTAAATTTAATAAAGTCAAAAAAAGATATAATTTATCAAACGTTCAAATTAAGCAAATTATTAACAAAAAACTTGAGCCCAACTTGGGTAACTCAAATCTAACTGAACAGAACAAAATTTATCCAACCAGACAAAGGAACCTGAGGACCAACTAAAGCTGAACACAAGAAGGAGGAATTAAACTAAATAATTAACTAAAACTACTAACTTATTCAAAGTAGCAAAAAGGAAATTATTATAATACAGAAAATAATAAGTGATAATAAAGTGACCTTAAAGCAACTAAACAAACTAACTTAATAAAACTAATTAAATAGTGCTCCCCCCTCCTTGCTGAGCCATGGTGGTCTCTTCCAAGGGTCCTCCAGAACAAATGTAAGTAAATTAAACTTATATTAAGTAAAATGTGTGCACTCAAATTAGAATATAAGTCTAAATAAAGGAATTAAATGATGTGTAATGTAATTAACTTAATGTAAATGAAATGAAATTAAATAATATTGACACTATGGAGGGGTGGCAGAGGTATCCACCACATTCACATTTAATAAACAATAACTATATTTCTTGAGCATTGTCTCAGGTGAATCATACAAAGCACCTCTACACTTTATCTATACACATCTCTTGACACTTTGAATGAAACAGCAGCAGGTGCTCAAACATTTCTAGACCAGTTTCTTCGGGCGTTTGAATGTGCTGATGTGGTGAGGTTGTATCTCATAGTGGCCGTGCAGGTTTGGGGAATGCAGGCCGGGCTGGAGATGGGCCCACAGATACAGACAGTGTGTGGACCATTATTTCAGATTAATTCAGATAATGGAGTTTCTGCTTCGACCCCATGCCAAACCTTTAAACTACAGTAACACTGCAAAAATGCTCCAAAAATGTGGTAAATACACTGCATAAATGAATAAATGTAAATATGGTTGTGACTAGGTTAGATTAATTTAGTGTGTAAATAACTGTGTTGATTTTAAAAGTTAGTTTTGTTTGTTTTTTTCAGATAGGGAAGTATGAAAATTGGGAGAGAGTTGGGAGCGACATTCATTAAATTGACTGAGCAGGATAACAAACTTGCTGTAGTTTTTTGTAGTTTTACTTGAAATTAGACAGGACTTTTGAAACCAGTCAGAAAGCCCAAATCTTAAAAAAAAAAAAAAAAAAAAAAACTTAAAAAAAAATCTATTACTATTATTATTATTATTTATTTTTTACGCAAACATATGAATTTTAAGTTTATTTTACAGATATAAATGATGTCGTATCACAACCAAATAATTATGCAAAAAAGATAACATAATGTATTCAGCTTTTATTTTGTTTAATGTAGACTTTCTAGCTAAATAAATCAAATTAAACCTACTCAAAAGAAATATGCATTCTAAGTTCAAATCCTCTTATCTCATACACATCACTTTTTTTTTCTTTTTTTTTTTACAGTGAATATTCATACTGAGTGGTGAGAGTGTATTACCTGCCCACTTTCTCTGTCTTACCTGTCCGTTGTCCACACGACTCCGCCCACTCTCCTCCCTCCAGGCTCCTTCAAATAAAACACACGAACATCTACACTTTACGTCTCCACTGGGACATTTTAGACACTGGATTTTATTATAACTGAGACAAGATGAACACCTCTATCGTAATTTAACCGTGAGTTTTATCAAGTTTTACCATTAACCAAAATCTCAAATATGTCCAGAAAGAGCTACTACGTAAAATAATACATAGATTATACATTGTTGTCAGTTTAAGTAAGTCTACCTTCTGCTTTGTTTCCAGTTGAGGATAAAGTGACAATGTCTCCGTCCTTGGCGCGCTCGGCTCCCAGTGAGCTCAACCACTGGTGGACTCAACTCCGCTTTCGGCTGCAACACAAAAAAGGATGGAATGAGATGCTGGATGAGACTTTCCTCCTGCACACCAAGAAGTAAGTCTTGCTAAAAGTATTTATAATAATGAACGTAACACACTGAAAATGAGTTAAAATTAATACAGAATATTCATTTATTTTTCCTGGTTTGGTTCTGGTTGGACAGATTTCCCAGTAATTTCCCAGTCTCTTTCCTCTTAGCAATAACAATATTCCCACTGAGTTAAAATGGTTTAGGTATTATATTATTTCTAGTTTTGTCCTAGTTTGATCCTGGTTTAGCACCAGATGTCTCACAGGGTCCTCCCTTGTAGTATAAAGCAGGTCCAATCTATGAAAGGCCTTCTTCATGGCAAAAAATCTGAATCTGGTTGTCCTGGTTTGGTCTGGATTTAGTCCTGATGTTGTCCCAGTTTAGATTTGTCCTGTTCTGGTCCTGGTCCTGGTCTAGTCAGAGATCACATTTGACTTGAACACATTTTCAGTTTATTCCCAATTTTGATGTGGTTTATGTGCAAGTGTGAATGTAACCTTTATTTATTTTCTGTTTATGTGTTTATTTTTATTTATTTGCTGACACGTTTCAGTAAATTGGTTCTCATTTCAAGGAGTTGTAAAAGTGCACCTATACCATCCAGCAGAGTTACTGTTTTATTGCAAGCTAAATGATTATTGATAACAGTCGTGAAACTAACTGTTAAAATAATTGAGGTCATATATCAAAAGTCTTATGTTTTTAATCCAAGCTGGTAGATGTTGCTTTTTCACAGTGTTGTTGTGACCCGTGACTCAGCAGCTGCTTTACCTGCTGTGTCATATTTGGAGAGACTCTTGTGGTTGATGTATTTTTGTCACTGTCCACGTCAACATCAGGTCATCTTTTTAATCCAGCGATGTACAGAACACAGGCCTCTCTGAATGTTTAACTTTTTAGTACACTCAAAACTGTAGTACACTGCTGTCTGTATTTAAAGGTGAACTATGTAACTTTTCTCTTACTTTACCTGGAATGTTCCAGACTAATGCATTTCTATCTACATGGAGATAAGCAAAAAAAAAAAAAAAAAAAAAAGAGGTTAAGTTACAGGTCAGATCCGTGGGCCACCCCACACACAACAAAAACATCTGTCAATAAAATAATAAGATAGATGAGTTTAATCCCAGACTTGTTTTGAATCTTATTGTTCTCTTTACATGAGAGCTTTAATTCAGATTTAAAATTATTTCATTCGGAATAATTAACTTGGAATTATAAAAAATAATGTAAATGTGTTTACATTGTAGAACATTCTAGGTCAAACAACATCGAAACATCAAGTGAAATGTCCACCAGAAAAGTTACACAGTGTCCCTTTCAATTTGGGTTAGTTATTTTATAGAGCAGCTGTTAACTATTAAACTTTTTAAAGAAGTCACCTGCCTTTGTAAGTGTTGTTCTGGAGCCAAGCCAGAATAAACAATAACAGCTTCAAGAAAAAAAAAAAAAAAAAAAAATGGAACTAACAACTTTTTTTCCCCCCACAGTTAGAAGTTGTTATCCTTAAACTGCACAACATTTCTCATGGTGTGTTTACTTTTAGCATAAATGAAATTCCTCTTTTCTACGCGGCAAAGACCAACAGTGCAGGCTGCATCAAGAAACTGCTCAGCTCCTCATCCACAAACATCTTTGAGAGAGGTGCGTTTGTTTTATGTTCACTCTCTGTTCACTCTCTGTGTCAATATCCAAAAATGAACATCATATTTTATAGTAAAACACGAGGAACAAAATACTAACCTCAACAGCACACTTTATATTTAATTTCAGTGAACCATGTGAGTCTCACCTTAACCAAACTTTACAGCAAGTTAGACTTACTTTGAGCCTTATTTTAACACAGGATTTAACAAGTTTTAGGTGAGATGAGGTATGTGCTTAAACAAGTCTCATACACATAAAATTAGTTTCGCTCGCCTTTTTGTTGAAAATCGAACACCTGAACACGAACATGAACGCTCATATCGATCACAGGCTCCTGAAAATGTGTTGTTTAAATTCATTTTGTGTTTTTTCATAAGTTTTCAGACGATCTTAAAACGTTTTGAGCCTGTTTGTTAATGTGTGCATAGTGTCACCAAGGTAACTGCTGAATATTCTACCAGTAAAGATACATCTAGAACACCCCCAGCGTGATATTTCTGCAAAGTATCCATAGTTATAGCATTAATTTCGTGTATTCATGGGTTTCAGAATGACAGAAATTTAGGACTGTTTCCATGGCAATTAACAGTTATTTATCTTTTGTTTGGTCAAAAGTCAAAATGGTGCATATGTAATAAAACCCATGAGTTTTGTAACCAAATCTCCTCCTTAAAAACCTTGACAAAATGCTACTGCAAGTCATTTTATACTCATACACAATTCCCAGTGTTGAAGGTGAACTATGTAACTTTTCTCTCTGGTGAGGGACTGTTATCTTTGTTTTCTTGGAGAAGATATGTTGCAATTGTCTATCTTTTTTCTTTTTTTTCTTTCTCTTTTTTTCCCTCAAATTACCTTGAAGATTTTGACAAAAACATCTCCATGGAGACAACTTGACGTACCCTCCACTAGAAAAGTTACATAGTGCCGACAGACCAAGTTCAGAGCCCTGCTAACTGTGTTTTGTCCAGGCGCTTTGGGGGAGACGGCGCTTCATGTGGCTGTGATGCACGACAACATGGACGCCGCTTTGGCTCTGATGGAAGGAGCTCCTGAACTCATCAACGAACCCATGACCTCTGACCTCTTCCAAGGTTTGGACACACACAAGCACTACAAGATGAGGGAGTGTTAGGTACTAGCAGAAATCTTGCGTGGGGTCCAAAAGAGCGGAGGCACTTCTGTAGCCACATCTGCCTTGGGGTAGACAGGCAGAAGCAAGGCTGCAAATCTGCACCATTGGTTTCCCCAAACTCCAGCAATAGTGTCTAGTCTGGTGTCTAATCGAGTGTGTGTGAGACTTTATTGCACTGTAGATTTGGAAAAGTATCATCCACAGGACATTTCAACAAGATTACATTTGTTGTTCTTCTGTTGTGGTTAAGAAGACACAAAAGAGATTAGTGAGGATAAAATCAGGACACGCAAAATGATGTGATGAGTTTAAAGTTTAATACCACATGGCAGACAAGGTTAAAAGTTATTATTATTTGGCCTTCATCAGACCAAACGATGTGATGAATTGTTTGTTGGACTCCAGGGGTGACGCCGCTGCACATCGCTGTAGTGAACCAGAACATCAACCTGGTGCATCACCTGATCATCAGAGGAGGGGACGCGGCCACTCCCAGAGCCACCGGCCTCTACTTCAGGAAGAGGATTGGAGGGCTCATCTACTATGGTAAGATTAAGTCCAACCAGGCTTTTCTATTCAATGTTGGCTGAGATTGGTTCCAATATTATGAGGACCCCCTTGAAAACGAGATGGTGACAAGGGGCTTATCCTCCAAACTAATTAATTCAAATTCAAATATTATATCAGTGGTTCAAGCAAATGGGTTGAATATGAAATAATGAGGTTAAAAGCAGTTGTTCTGGCTGTATAAAATGTCTTCTTTAAATAAGATTACATAATAGCTCATAGCTTTAGACCTATATACCTTTTGTTTTTTATGGAAATACCATTAAACAGTTAAAGGTGCACTGTGTAACATTTCTGGTGTATGTTTTGTGAGATGTTTGTCTCCACTGAGATCATTAAATGTATTTATCAACATGGAGACATGCAGGTTATGCCACATACCGAGTTACAGGTAAGATCTGTGGAGAGGCAAGAAGGCATGTTTGTCAAAGCATTCTTTGGCAATAAAAACACCTCTAACATTTCCTGTAAAAGAAAAACCCGTAGGTGCTGTAGCCTCTAGCAGAAAAGTTACATAGTGCACCTTTAAGCTCTTACCAAACCAGCTAGTATCATGTTTTCTTTAGTTAACATCCACCTGCCAGCGGGTTTATGGAAATGTAGCCACGTTTATACTCGGGCATTGATGTTTGTAAAAATGCATTTTAATACATTTCTGTTTGGACAAAACCAATCTCAGCGTGTTATTGTTGATGTAAGAATCCTCTGTGATATTACATATGAATCTTATTGTCCACATCAGGGGAGCACATCCTGTCCTTCGCTGCCTGTGCGGGTAATGAAGACATCATCTCCATGGTGATAAATGCCGGAGCCAGCACCCGAGTCCAGGATTATCGAGGTATGAACCAAACATCTGGACAGGAAGTTCAACTCACAACTCTCAACCTTCGTAATGAAAAAATTATACATGCACATGGCACCTTTCCGCCTCCATTGGGAAAAGCTTTTATGTGCTCATCCTCACAGACAGCACTCAAAGTGTTTTGCCCAAGGACACAATATTCACAGCACTGGTGAGAGCAGGGATCAAACCACTAACCATTCACTTGTCACAGAGCAAACTCTCTTCCTCTGATAGCCCATAGATGTAGCCTGTATGAAATGGCAGTAAACAGCAAAATTACTGATTAAAAAAACAGTTTAACATAGACGTTGTACAATTGAATGTTTTACTTAGGGAGTTTTGATACTGACTTTCTGCAGCACGAATGGCCAAAGCATTCAGATATCTTTGTGAAAACTGGTAATTTCAAACAGAATATATTTTAAGAAAAGTGAAAAGGCGAAAACTTTGCCTTCCCTGTGAAGTTACCTTAATCTCTTCCTCTTTTGATTCTCAGCTGTGGGTACTTGAAAGTCTAACACCGTCCTCTCTGATGAACCAGTCCTGTTAAAATGAACTGGGACATTTTTGCTATTTCTAATCTATTCTGTTCTATTTATTTAATTTCAACTGCACTGGGCTTAAAATGTTTCCTCATCACAAATATAACTAGAGTTGTGTTTTGTTTCATTCACAAATCCTGCATATTTAGGCTAAGTTCTTTCCTCAAATTATCAAAAAATGAAGCTGTTGCCTTGAAAATTACCACTACATGACATCACAATGTGGAACAGAGCATTTTGAGCTTTGGAGATGTAGACAGACTGATAAAAAATGGTTATTCAAACACTGTGAATGAAACAAAAGCAACTCCAGGTCTGTTTTTGAGGACGTAACAACTAAAAGCTCACAAGAGTCAATTTTAACATATTGATCTGGGTGTGTCCCTCCAGGTAACACACTGCTCCACATCCTGGTACTTCAGCCCAATAAGACGATTGCGTGCCAGGCCATGGACCTGATCATGGCCCGAGACGCAGAGCTGGACCATGCCGTGCCCCTCGACATGGTTCCCAACAGCCGCGGACTCACCCCCTTCAAACTGGCAGCCAAAGAAGGAAACACTGTGGTGAGACACACTTAAAACACTCAGATTTGTTCATTTTGTCGACTACTCATGGCTTTTAGGATGATAAAAATGAAAGATTAACATTAGCCTGATCATTTAACTTAACAATTTAACAGCTTAAAACAAAATAATCTACTGTTTCGTAAGTGAAAGTCCTCAAAATGTTGCCCATAAGAGGAAGCTGAAACCCATGAATTATGATTTAATAACTCAGCTATAATAAGCTACTAAGTACAGACATTTTAGTTGATTAATATAAACAAAATGAACAAAGCGCAGAGAGATGAGACCCGAGCTCCCGCGTTTCAATCACAGAGCCTCATGGCAGACTGTACAAAAGATCAACAAAGGCCGCATCTACGTATTAGTCATAACAAAATAATGCAATCTATTGATAGTAATTAGAATGAAAAATATATTTTCCAGTTGGCCGAAGGGATAAGTGTGTATTTAGTTGACTAAAATAGCTTGACATTTTCATCTAACTAAAAAAGTACAGCAGTAAACATGTCTATTTCCATGGACAAAAGCAGGAAACTAGGAGTTAAAGGTCTGATCTGCAGAGAGGTGACCCTGCTCAACGATGTCTTGATCATAGATTATAATTCATTAATTGTGTCTGTTTTGTTTCTCCAGGCCTTCCAGCACCTGGTGAACAAAAGGAAGATTGTCCAGTGGAGTCTGGGTCCTCTGACGTCAAACCTGTTTGACCTGACGGAGATCGACTCGTGGGCAGATAACATGTCCGTGCTGGAGCTCATTGTGGGGAGTCACCACAGAGAGGTACAATCATTACAACACATGGATTTAAAATATAATGAATATGACCCATTAGAACAGGGTCGTATGCAGATGGAGGAGGCACATCTCAGCATATAGTTTATATTATAAATGTAAGGACTAAACCAGGATTAAAACAGGACCAAACTGGAACATGAACTGGGGAAGAACCAGTATTAAACCAGGATTTATGCAGGATTACACCCAGCCCTAGAAGATGTAAAGGATTGCCAAACATAATGCAATAGTGTTATGAAGTACTTGTCCATTCCAGACACTCCAAATGTCCCCATACACGGTGGTAATCTTAAGCGAGGTCTTGCCCAAGGACACAACAAACAACAACAACCGTGTGCACTGGTTGAAGTTTAGATTAAACCACCAACAATTAGACCGGAGGGTTTGGGACCAATTTAAATTCTAACAAATATAAATGTAGATTTGGATTGGGCCTGTTTTAGTCCTGATTTAGCTCTGGGTTTAACCTCACTTTATTTTTAATTTCGATGTGATTATGCAAGTGTGATCGCACCCTCAACCAGCTCTAACTCTCCTCAATTTAACCTTTGGACTTATTAGTTTTAACATGATGGAGCTCAGCATTTGGAAAAAAAAAATAAAACGTAACAAATTAAAGTAACTGCAGCCTTATGGTTTATTAAGAATGATTCAGGCTTAGTAACTACTTAATTAAAGGGTTAAAGGTTACAAATTAGGGTATAAATTAAATAGTTACTAAGCCTGAATCATTCTTAATAAACTATTTGCTCTGTGTGATCAGGCCAGAAGGATCCTGGAAGTGACTCCTGTCCGTCAGCTGGTCAGTCTTAAGTGGAATCTGTACGGCAAACACTACTTCAGGTAAATTTAAACCTATTTCAGAGAAAAAAAACTACAGAACTTAACGCTTGATTAACCTAAACTGACCATGTGATGTGTCTGCTTCATGTCTCAGGCTTCTGCTGGTGCTCTACCTGCTTTATATCGGCACCTTCACATTATGCTGCTCATACCGCCCTCTAAAGGACATTCCAGAGAACTACACCCAGTCAGAATTGGACAAAACCATAAGAATACAGAAGACATTAGAAGTACGATTCTAACTTAATACTAACTTTATAACAAGATACAGAATTGAAAAAAATGCCTGACAATATATCTTAAGTATTAGATTGTATTGTTGATTTTAAATGAACCACTATCTATCATTTTTATTTCCTTTTTAATTCAGGAGAGCTATGTGACACACAAAGACAGTCTGCGTTTGGTTGGGGAGGTCATCAGTGTGCTGGGTGCTTTGGTCATTCTGTTGTTAGAGGTACTATTGCTTTAACATGTGCTGTAAGCTGCAGAAATGCATGCTAAGATAAATTATATGAATCTGTAATATAGTTTTAACTAATTTAAGAATGTAGCAAGTGCATATCCACATTTGCTTTGGCTTATGGTCTCATTTTGTTTTGTCTCCCAGATTCCTGACATCATTCGAGTGGGTGCAAAGCGTTATTTTGGACAGACTGCACTTGGAGGGCCCTTTCACGTCATCCTGTATGTATCATGATTATATTTTAAACAACAGTATGAAATTTTTTGGAAGTGGTACATCACCTGCATAATTCTCTGGAAATAGAAAGTTAAAAACATACTTCATAATATTCTATACGGGAATGGGTATCATTTATGTTGTTTTTTAGAGCAATAAACAAAAAAGTTCCATATTATAGCTTTGACTAAAGAAGGGGCAGGTAACTTTCTATCCTACCAATCACTCCAATATAAACCAAGTATTAGATTAGGCGTTATTTATGAAAAAAGCTCCTCTGATTAGAACAAGCTTCCCTCATCTATTTGCACATTAACTTCTGTCCCTTCATTTAAAAATGCTCTGGTTTAATATTTACACATTTACCCGTGTCATTGTTTTTGATCATTTTGTTGAATTTTGTTGTTCATCTTGTTGTATTTTGTGACTATATTTGAACTCTGTCTTAGTTTTTGTTCAGATTTGATTTATTATGTCTAACAGTCAAGTGTGAGTGAGTGTGAGTGTCTATGGTTGTGTTGATTTTGTTATGTTTTTTCTATGTTTATTTGAATTTATGTAGCCTACTGTCTGCTCTACTGTATCTGTATCTGTAACTATGAGGACCCCCTTGAAAACAAAATGGCAAGACATCTCAAGGGGCTTATCCTCCAAACACATAAATTCAGATTATTTATGAAAAGATAAGCTGCTAATTGATGTAAATTCAGCTGAATTTATATTTAAACCTATATTACCTGCATGTTTGTTGTCCAGGATCAGTTACGCCTGCCTGGTGGTGCTCCTCTGTGTCTTCCGCCTGTGTCAGCTGAATGGAGAGGCTGAGCTGATGGCCGTGTGTTTGGTCCTGGGTTGGTGCAACGTCATGTTTTTTGCCCGAGGATTTGAAATGCTGGGTCCTTATGTGATCATGATCCAGAAGGTACGACTGCAAACAGCTTCCTGTGAACTGTATAGACCATTTGTTTATTTAAAGATCCACAATTGTATTTCCTTGCTTGGAATGTTCCACAGTATGATATTTAATTATATCTCCAAGGCAGGTTACATGTGAGATCTGTGAAGAGGTGACCCTGCTCTTTGCAAGTTTTTCGCAGTATTTTTGAACCTATAAAACCTAGTTAAATGCCATACTTGGAACATTACAGTCAATGCTTTAAAATTTCTATGGATACAAACAGGTCGATGGATACTGCTTAAGAAAAGTTACACAGTGCACCTTTAATCGATTTTTTTTTTTGTGTGTGTTCAGATTATATTTGGCGACCTGACCAAGTTCATGTGGCTAAGTTTTATTGTACTCCTTGGGTTCTCCACTTGTAAGTACATACTTTACTTTTACTTTTACTTTTAATTTAAATTTTTTCTTTTTACAGTTTTAGACCACAAAGCTAATGCAAAAAAGAAAAAAAATCTAATGTACCCAGTTTAGTTTGCAATGAAAACTAATTTGAAAACATCTCAGACTAATATATGTAGGTAATTTTAGGTAAATATTAGTGAAAAGTACTCTGATTTAAAGTCATTTTAAGTATGTGGACCATGTTTTATCGTGTGTTGTGCTCGACTGAATACCTCTGTCTCCTCTCCAGCTCTGTGGGTGGTGTACATGACTCAGGAAGTGGACTCCATCCCGGCCTATCACTCCTTCCCCATCACTCTCTTCTCTCAGTTTGAGCTTAGTGTGGGACTCATAGATTTGCCTGTGGACCACACCTTTATCACGCCCCCTATAGTCCATGTCCTGCACTGCACCTTCTCTGTGGTGTCTTACATTCTACTGCTGAACCTGCTGATCGCCATGATGAGCGACACTCACTGGAGGGTGGCCCAGGAGAGGGACGAGCTCTGGAGGACTCAGGTATATCACAGGCTGCGTTTACACTCAAAATTAGGACTACACCTGGACTAAAACAAGAGTAACCAGGACTGGACTACATCTTGGATAAATATAATACCATAGACTGTATATAAATGGACAGAGCTAACACAATTTAAGGGCATTCCCTTCAACAGCCTCACTTCAAATTGATACTATTGATTCTTGTGATAGGAATTCAAAGTATCGAAATCTGCTTCAAATTTCTCCCCTATAAATTCAAGCCTCAATGAGCTTCATTGGACTGGATCTGAACACTATGGGAGATGTTGCACTCCCCAAGTCCACTTCCTTATACAGTAAATTCTATGCGTAAAACCAACAAGCACTTTACATTTAGGTTTACTTTTTTGCATTATGGATCAAATAGAAATCGACACAATTCACACTGTATGGCTCACAATACATTAATGGCATGATTTGGGGGATATATGTATTGACTGTACTGCATTTTGTACGAAATTAGGTTTTGATGTTGTCTATTTTCATTGTCCCCCCTGATATTCTAGACAAATTTCAGTTTTTTTAACCAGTAAAGGCTTATCTTATGTCATTATCAATAAACTACATCTTATTTTTCAGTGTTTCCCAAACTTTTTTTCTGGGGACCCATATTTTAAAAGTCACAAACCTTCATGACCCAAGACAATAGACATTATTCGTAAATTACAAAATAAAGTTGGATTTGACCATTATTGAACATTTATGAGGATATTTTCTTCTTGACTGAGTGATCGTGTCTCTCTGAACGCTTAGTATTACTCAAGTTTTAAACAGTGAAAAACAGTCATTGAACCAGCAATAAAAGGATCCATAAGTCGCCTATTTGGACATTAAATTATTTTTCTTTTCAACATTCAGTTGAACCAGCAATATTGGAACAAAATTAAACTTATATTGCAGAACTACATGCAGATCATGACAAGGCGATCCCCCCCAAAAATCTTTTGCGACCCACCTGAGGATCTTGACTCAGTCTTTGGGAATGTTATATTTTATTATTTAACAGATAGAACAGGTAGTTTAATGTACTAATTTAATACACTAATCACAGTGAATGTGTCGACTGTGTTATATAAATACATTTAATTTCTCTTAATAAACTACAAAAATGTGGTGCTACCTCAATCTAGTTTACAATCCCAAAAAATGTGATGTGTTGATAAAAGCATCTTATCACATCAATACCTTATACCTGTGCTTTTATTAATCTGAAGAATGCATCTTAAAAAATTAATGATTTGACTATGATTTCTGTTCTGTTTGTTTTCAGGTGGTGGCTACGACGCTGATGCTGGAGAGGAGACTTCCCCGCTGCCTCTGGCCTCGACTCGGAGTCTGTGGACAGAGCTATGGACTCACAGAGCGCTGGTATCTACGGTAAGGAGTGGCTGTATAATTAAGAAAGGACAGAGTGCAATATTAGTTTGACCAAAACAAAATAAAAAAAAAATATTGTACCAGATTATGATAAAGGTTGTTGATAAATTGTGGCTTTTTGTGCTTTGGAATGTTCATTTTACCGTCTTAATGGGTCCGTGTACCATTTGTCCTTTCAATTAAGAACGAAAAACAATAAAGTGGCAAAACTGTTTGTTATTTTGTTATTGTGTTTTAGTGTCAAACAAAAAAACAGATTTTGACCTCTATTTCCAATATTTAATTAAAAGTTTTTTTCAAATAACACTAATTAAAAAAGAAACATCGTGCCTATTTCAATTTTGATATTTTATTCTCTTCTAGCAGTAGAATTTCCAGGGCAAATAAACCAAAGAGAATAAAATATCAAAACTGAAACAGGCACCGAGACCGTTTTTTGATTGGTGCTATTTGAAATCAACTTTGAATTAAATTGGAATTTAATTTAATATTTAAATTAATATAGGAAAAATAGGTTGAAATCTAAACATTAAAGAGGAATAATGAAATAACAAACTGTTTTCCCATTTTATTGTTTTTCATTCTTAATTGAAATTCAAAAGAACAAATGGTACATGAACCTTAATGTCATAGAAGTTACTGTTTTGTCTATAAATATCTGGAACTGGTAATATTTTTTAGCTATCATAAACCTTGAAAACTGATAGATTTGCATGTGGTTACTCAAAATCCTAAACTGTAGTGAAGTTGATACAAAACAAAACTTGTAAACTCAATTTAAAGGTAAAGACTTGCACCATAATACTAGTTTTAATCTATAGCTTTTCAGCAAATGTCCTCAGCTAATAAAGGTTAACAAATAAAAGTTTTATTGTTTACTTAGGCAGCACCTACGCATTCATTTTTTGACAAGCCTAAATTGTTGTGCGGCTATTTCTCAGAACAGTGACATCAGGTGTGAGTTCCTGTGTGCTTTTGCTATTTTTAAAATTCCTGTTTACTCACTGACCTCATTCTGCAGCCACAGAATCATGAGCAGCACGAGGCACTCTACTATTACAGCACTTATGCAAATCTTATATAAATATCCCAAAGAATTATTATTAACTTGTTGCTTATTTACGTAAAGTAGATTTTTGTGAGCTTTAAGTCATGTTACCTCATCAAAAACATAGCTGGAGTTGTGTTTTGTTTCATTCATACGTCTGAGTAACCCTTTATTATTAGTCTGTCTGCATCTCTAAAGCTCAAAATAAAATTCTCTGTTCCCTGTCAGGTAGTGGTGGTTTTCAAATTAACAGCTGCTTTTTACCTTTAGTTCAGAAAAAAAATAGCAATTCAGCTGAAATTATTGAAATGATTCTAGTGAAGTTTAAAGACACAGTGGGGCATTTCCTGTAATACCACATGACAAGGTGGAGTGTTTTCTGTTTGAGGGAAGAACTGTGGTTTGCAGCGTTTGTCTGTTAAACATGTGTGAATGAAACAAAACACAACTTCAGGTCTGTTTTTGACGGTTCAGTTCTGGTTTAGTCCTGGTTCAGTCCTGGAATCAGTCGTAGGTTAGTTATGGGTTAGTCCTGGGTTAGTCCTGGTTCAGTCCGTGGCGTGTGCAGTGCAAAAGTGCGGCATCTCCATCAGTGTTTTTTCTGCTAACACCTGTGAAGTGATGACAGTCGAGTCGCGTCTGTGAATTTGTGTTCTTACTGAAGAAAGTGTAACCTTTTAATATCATTTCGTGATTGTAATTCTTGAAGTCATAACTTTTCTGGATTGTTAACGGGTCCGGGCGGATGCAGGTTTAACTTTGATATAATTACGAGTTAACGGGCGGGTGTGGTGCTGTATTGTGCGGGTGAGGGTGGATGCAGGTCTCCAAAAATTGACCCGTGCAGGACTATGATCTGACTTGGCTGTAAAATGGTCTGATGGTGTCACTTGCTTGCCTACATGCAGTTAGATGAGTTTAATGCTGTGCTGTAAAACATTCAAGGCAAAGCAATGGCCTCCCCATGAACATGAGCAGGTGGCAAACCCTAGAAATGTTACACAGTGCACCTTTAAATAAGCAAAAATTAACAGAATAATCCCATGACATTATGACTTACGTATATATTTACTTGTTTCCAGGGTTGAAGACCGTAACGACCCCATGGTGCAGAAGATGCGTCGCTACATTAAAGCTTTTCAGGAAGAGAAGGCGGGGCAGGAGAAGGAGGATCAGGAGAAGAGTGACCCGACGAAGGACACTCCGAAGCTCCGCCCCAAGAGACGAGGCCGGCCGGTGTCCGGGTGGCAGCTCATCAGGAACAGCGCTCTGGGACTGGACATGGAACCGTTTGAACCAGAGGAGGAGGAGGACGTTAAGTTTGTCTAAAGCTCAGGCAATCAAAGAGGAAAGGACTGATATGTGCTCACAGCTAAGTGCACTGCAAAAAACTATATAAATGTGGGTTAAAATTACTTCAGAGTATATTTTTTCTTATACTTAACATATTATATAACAGGACAATTTACAGCTATATAATGTCTGAGTTCAAAGATACACATACCAGATTGTAGTTTAGGAACTTAGTTTTGAAGAATTCTTTGGTTAAATTTGCTGTTTAACTCTCAGATTACAGATTTGTTGACCTGCTTTAGGGTTAATATGTCTTTAATTACTGGACCTCTCCACATGAAACAAGAACAGGCCCAAAGTTAGGCCTTCTCTGTGAAATACTGATAGCTTCAGAAAGTCAAGCCCATTGTTTTTGAACTCCATAAGATTAAAACAGCAAGTTTGTTTCACCAATCCCAAACAAATAATGAATCATATGTTCTTCTATTTCATTTAGAAACAGTGAATCTCCCATAGAGTTTTATAGTTTTGTATTTTCCATCAATTATAACATCAAATTCTAGATTCGTACTTGGAAAACGAAGTAATTTTAGCTCATGTGTTCATTGTATTTTTGCCAGTGGAGTTAAAAGGCCCATATTACATTATCGGATCTATGTTGTAATGTTGTTTCCTTATCAAAAACATATCTGGAGGGTGTGTTTTGTTTCCAATTGGGTGATTTCACACCTGGAATTGTCCAATCTCTTCTGAACAAAACCGTAAAATATATCTGTTAGTGTGTTTTTGATGAGATAACAACATTCTAACATGGCTTAAAGAGTAAAAGAGTCTATTTTTTTTTAGTAATATAAGACCTTTAAACAAACTCATCAGAGACACTTGCTCTTTTTTATATAGGTGCAATTACTACTGCAGTATTATGCTATAGAAAAGTGTGTTATTTTTGTATACTTATGTAGCAGTAATATATGTGTTCTTTTCCATTATATATAAATATTGTGTTTGTGCTATTTTTAATACAAATTCCATATATCCTAAATGTAAACAACATTGTAATATAAAATACGTAATATATATAGAGAGAGAGAGACATTGAACATGTGGGTTGGTGTCATGGACTTTTTATTTAAGAATAAAACTCTTGATACAAACGTGTGAATCTTTGCGGATACAGTAAGCTCAGTGGTTTTATAAACGGCAGGTTTCTATTCAAATAAAAGCAAATGTAAAAATGAACAAAGCTGCATTGTAATACAAATATACAGTATACACAGGTTACATTTTATTTAACGTAGAGGACAGGTAGGAATTCTGTGGAGCTTGTTGCTAAAGATTTAAACTGCAGATGTTTTGACCTTTTTATAGTCAATATCTCCATCCATAACTTTAATGGTAACACTTTATTTTAGGGTACACACTCTGTTAGGTGTTAATAGACTTTAACTAGCCATGAATTAAGTCATGAAGCTCTCAATATGTTCCCCATTCTAAAGTGATGTTTTGATCGTAGCTAATAAATGACTAGTTTGAGACAAATGAAATATGGTCCCTATTCTAAAGTGGTTTCTTCTTCACACTTAATTCATGTATTATGACGTGTTTGATGTGTGATTCATAGTTCACCTAACAGAGAGTGTTTTATTACAGAAGACTAAGCCAAATTTATTAAGTGCAAATAAGTAAAAACTACATTTCTTGTGCTACTAGTCCTTAAGAACACGCTTATTACCAAAAGCTTATTAGAATCATAATTCATGGACAAAAATGATCTAGTATCATACCAATAATTAATAAGCAGTAATAAGGAGTGTATTAATAGGAAAGTGTTTGTAAATGTCAAACAAATTGCAACTAATAGCACCTAACTAATAACTAATAGCAGAATAAGTTTATGGGGAATTAGACATTAATAAAGACTGAATAATACTAATTGACAGAGGTGGGACCAGATCGTTGTTTTGCAAGTCTCAAGTAAGTCTCAAATCTTTTACCTCAAGTCCGACTCAAGTTCCAAGTTGAAGACAGGCAAGTCCAAGTGGAGTCTCGAGTCACTGGCCCATAAGTCCAAGTCAAGTCCAAGTCGCCTGCTTTGAGCTTCAAGTCATTTCATTTCTTTTAACCAAATTACCAAATATAGCTTAAATTTTTGCAATTTATATGAATTTTAAACTAAATTGTACTTAAAAAGTCATGGTGTATATTATATATGAGTATTTATATAAGATTTGGAAATTGACATTTTTCCTTTTTAATTGTCTTGATCTGAGAATTCAGATTTAAAAGTGTTTAATAACAGTTATTTTGTTGTGTGTCTGCACTGAAATTAAAGGATCATGTTCTTTGTATTTCCCTCTGTTTCACTGTGTTGTACTGTATATTACTTTATATTACTGTAGTACTTTTAAGTATCACAGTACTTCAGTTCCATCCAAAGTAACAAATAAAAAAGTGGGACGGACATGTTCCAGTTTGTTCCTGTAAAATAAATCACCGTATCTATCAACTGTAAAGAGAAAAATATTTTCATATATTTTTAGGAGAAGCATCAAGTCTGCTCAAGTTACAGGCCTCAAGTCCGAGTCAAGCCCCAAGTCACTGAGCTTCAAGTCCAAGTCAAGACCCAAGTCTTAGTTAATTTTATCAAGTCAAGTCTCAAGTCCTAAAAATAGTGACTCAAGTCTGACCTCTGCTAAATAATGACAAATTAACCATCTAAAACTATGTTAATCAGCAGGTAGTTCGATGTTACCCTAAAATAGAGTGTTACCCATTAACTTTGTCATTACTGGTCCTATCCACATGAACCTAAACTATTTTGAGTATGCAGTTCAAAATGGTTGTTTCAAATTAATAAATTCTTAAACACAGACTTTAATAAGTAGGCAAGTTACAATGCAACTTAACCACATTTCAAACAGAAATCTATCAGTTCCTCCCTGTCCTCCATTTGAAATATTACACCATCAATTTCTGCTGAACTCATTACTTGGCACCACTACTTCTGCTTTAAACCTGTTTGAAGTTAAAAAAAAAATCCAACACACACAATGTTAATGTTTCACCATTAAAGATGCACTATGTAACTTTTCTGCTGAAGGTTCTGTCACCTTCTTGTTTCTGTGGAAATGTTATTGCTTTGCCTGGAATTCCCCACAATATGGCATTAAAGTTACCTATGCATACTTACTGTGACAGGCTCGCCTCTCTACCTGTAATTTGTAATGCCTGTAATTTGGCTTGGTGGAGTCACCCTCTCAACTGACATGCAGAAGTTTAAAGCCATATTGTGGAACTTTCGGCTTTCACTTTCTCTGTGGACACAAGCAAATGGCAAACCCTCCACCAGAAAAGTTACACTGTGCAAATTTAAATCAATAAGGACTGTCTATAAATGACTGCAGGTCTAAACAAGGACTACACTGAGGTAAAACCAGTTCTGAGCCAGGTCCTAAAGGTTTTAATCCAATCCAAATGAGAACCAAAACAAGGATTAAACTAGGTCTACTATTACTACTACTACTACTACTACTACTACTACTACTACTACTACTACTACTACTACTACTACAACTACTGCTGCTGCTGCTGCTGCTTTTTCTGCTGAAGCTACTCCTGCTGCTAACTAGAATCACTAATCTCTAACAGCACTTCCCTAGACTTTCCTGACTAATTTTGAGAAAAATAGAAAGTTATCAAAGTGCGTATTGACCTTTAGCTTTAAAATTAGTCCTTCATTGGCTTTTGACAGATGCAGTACTTGGGGCGTGTGCAGAGATTCTTGCCCCAGTTATTCTCAGTTTTATTATTTCTAACACCAAACAACATCGCACAGTTGCCTGTTCCAGGGTTAGAGTCCAACCAGAAACTGAAAGAAAGATATAACAAACATATTATATAAGTATTATTATAGTGTTGTATAGTTATTTTTTACACTCTGAAATCAGTATAGGCCTGTGGATATGGGGTATCCAGATGATGCTGTTATTATTAAAAATTTTTCTTCAACCAATCAAATGCTGCTAGGTCGAGATGTGTCTGTGTCAGGGCATTATGTACACTTGTTAATCTTTAGCTCAAATCAAATACTAAGATTTGATCATGTTTACTTATTCAAATACGTATACTGAGTCCTATGATAAGCTACTGAACAGTTCCACAGTCACGGTTACTTGAACATGAACATGAACTGAATGTGTTTAGTTTAACCTCCTTTTTATCCTGAAATCATTCCAAGCCTCCCCTTTGTTTTGGTTAGTTTCATATTTGAGAGTAAGGGTTTACTGTGTGTGGTCACAGGACGCTGTTGAAGTTGTTTAATTAATAGAATTTGTATAAAAGAATGATCTAACATATTACTAAAATGTGTGTAGAAAATTAACTAGTACTTTGCGTAGTACCTTTCATGCATACTGTACTTTTTACAAATTTTCCAACACAACTTGGACTAGCCATAACTGTAAATAACTGTACATATTTAGAGTATCGAGTAAGAATATAGCTCTTCAAAACTCTTTCCACCAGTGCAAACAAACAAGACCATGATGTAATGATAGATACTTACTTTCCTTCGAGATCCTGACCGTTGACCCAAGACCAGCGCCCATCCTTGTAGCTCAGGCCGATCCAGTACTGCACCGCCGCATTCTTAGTCAGAAAAGTCTGGCAAAAGCACAACACAAAATCACTTTTTCCTACAACGTGAACTAATACATGATTATATTAAATTCTGGAATTGCTTTAAATCCTAGAATATGCAATCTTTAGTTTTTTTGTTTTTTTAATTCTATGAAATAAATGTTTACGGGGCAATGTCATTTCTTGGATGGACACACATTACACATTATGGCATAAAATGTATTTGTTTTCTGTTTATTCAATTATTAAGTGTTTTAATTGCACAAAAAAATCCTTGAAAAGGTGCATTCTTACTGAGTGGCTCTACCTCTTTACTTTTCTGTGAAAATTGCTTAAGATTGCTTAATATGGAAATGAGCGGTCTGGTCCAAAAAGCAATTTTGGGGAAGTTTGTGTTTTGTCTCTATGAAAATGTTTGGTAAGAATTCCACGTATAATTTTTTGAAATGAAAACCATGACCATGATCATGTGAGTAACTGAAAAACTGTGGTGAAAGCTTGCTACTGTAATTTTATATGTGAGAGACAGACTAAATGACTGCACAAATGACTTTCACCTTTGTAGTTTCAACAAAGTCAGCTCTTTCTGGTCAGTTTGTGTTAAAATCATACACTACTACTACTACTGCATAAAGAAGTGGACTAAGAGAGTGTGGCGTCTCCCACAGCGTTCAACTTCAGTCAAATGAAGCTCATGATGCAGTTCTGGGGCGACTTTGAAGCCAGGTCCATATTAGGATCATGTGGATCATCTTGTAGAGCAGGTTAATATGAACATTTTAAGACCAAAATGACAAGGCTCACAGCAGCAGCAGAGAGAGGGGAGACACTTTTTTGGAAGTCGATGAAGCTGGAAGCGCCTCAGTGCTGACTTTCTATTTGGATGCTTAGCAAGGTCCATCTACAATCTGGTTAAAATAAAGATTAAAGTCTAACTTGAGTAACAGAGTTTCCAACAGAGCAATGCCTGTAGTTAGATGTTGATGTTGAAGACATCAGCTGCAAAATAACATCTTCAGAAGGACCAGACCAGAAAAGTTACATAGTGCATCTTTAACATAAAAGATTAAAAAGAAAAATGGTGTTAATCCTATATTACATAATCAACAACAGTTACTGCTCTGTAATGTTTTACTGGACTTTTGAGGAAGTTGTGCCACATCGTTGAGCTATGAGACACAGCATCAAGAACCACAAATACAAGAGGTGTCATTTGAAAGCACATTTAGCTGAAGTGAGAAATTTTTTTGTTTTTATTTTATTATGCATCTTATTTTATCTACAGAATAATGAATATCTGTGTTAAAGTGTATTTTGTAATGTGAATCAGGGAACGGTATTCAAAATAGTTTAGGTTGCATAAATTAAAGAAATGCAACGTAGGATTAAAAACATCTTAATGTACAGTGCCCTGTTTATTATGTCTAAAGCCTTAATCACAGAAACACTCACCACAACAGTTATAATATAATACTGCACATTTTAAACCACCAAATATGTCAGAATATAGTTAACAAAGTAAGAGTAAGAGTGAGAGTAATGCATATTTACAATTACAAGAAGTATATTATAGTGTATAGTGATTTGATGATTGGGACATGTTTGAGTTGGAACGTTGGAACCAGATCTCATTTTTTAAAAGAACCTAATATTTTCCTTTCTAATTTATATGAGTTTTTACACTAATTCACTCTGAAACAACACAAAAATCAGTTAGAGCTATAATTATTATTTTTGTAATGCAACATTTTATTTAGATTTTCAAAATTTCAAAGTATAAATGCGCTTCCAGCTGAACCATTTAAAATAAATCTTAGTCTTGGGTCATTTCTCTCTGTGATTAGTTTGGTGTTTAAATGAGTTCTCACATTGGCTTCTGTCATATAAATAAATCGTAATAGAGCCATTCTTTTGAACGGCTCTTTGACGTGAACATGTCCAAAAGATTCAGATCCAGTAAAGGAGCTGAAAGTCCCATGATCACTAGACTATTAATAATAATATTATCTACCTGCAGGTCCGGGTTGGTGATCACTGCCAGCATCCCTCCCTTTTTCTCACAGAACTGGCGGCTGTCCTCCCATGTTTTTCTCTCCGGCGAGAACAGAAAACAGTAGCGACTCGAGTACAACCAGCCGTCATCACACACAGAGCTCTGACAACCTGTAACACATGTGGTCCCATTCACAGAGACTACAGCCAAAATTGTACTTAAGTAAAAGTAAAGAGCATGCATTAAAAAAACTTTCTTTTTTTTTTTTTTACATAGTTTTGTATAATTTCACATCAATGTTATGCACTAAACAGGATTTATCAATTACAGCATTACTTAAACAGAGACCCCAAAATATGTGACAGACAGAGCACAACAATAGGTAAAAACAGATTTACTTTACTGACCTTTTCTTAGCCTACTTGTTTCCATTGGCAGTGGGTCAAGCCCCGTGCGGATCAGTGAATACTAATGTTGTCATGATACTAATACGAACATTTCAAGCACGATTTCGATACTAAGGAATAGACTGGATACTCAAAAACAATTTCAATGCCACAATAATAATAATAATAAAAAAAAAAACACTCTTTCTTTAGCCAATAAAATGTGATATTTAAACTGTAGTACTTTCTTTGATATTTTGATCGTATAGTTTATGGCCGAGGTGTCAAACTCAAATTCACAGAGGCCAAAATTAAAAACTGGGACTATGCTGTGGGCCAAACTAAATATTTATTGAACATTTTCAATAACATCCGCATGTTTCCTCTTCTTTCGAGATATGTAATGTTAAACCTTTTCTTATTAAAATAAATGTTTATAATAATAGTTTTGCTTAAACACTGAATCCAGAACAAGCATAATTGAAAAATAATAACAAAATTTTAAATAAATAATGTCTCTATATCTCATCTGTAGCCAGTGTTGGGAAGGTTACTTTTAAAATGTAATCCCCTACAGATTACAGATTACACACCCCAAAATGTAGTTTGTAACGTACTCCATTAAATTACTTAAAGTGAGTAACGTAATCTGATTACTTTGGATTACTTGATATTGTCATGTTTTTTTAAACGACATGAATGTAGCAACCACATCCTGAAAATTCTTGTTTGTTGTCTTCAAATTGTCTGAGCCCAAGTCTCCATGAATAAGCAACTGTTTGCTGTAGAGAAACAAAGACCACGATATCTTAATATAAGAGGTTTTGTCTGTTAAAAGACAGTAACAAGATCAGCCTTTCCTTAATATTAAAAAATATTATTGATAGAGAAATTATTTTTTATATGAGATCACCTTAAATTATGTCAACCTACTGTTAGGTGTCATGTTGTTTAGTCCTGGTTTAGTCCTGGTTTAGTCCTGATTTTAGACCTGGTCTAGACCAGGTCTTCACTTCTGGTTTAGTCGTGGTTTAGTCCTAGTTTAAACCTGGTTCAGTCCTACTTTAGTCCTGCTTTAGTCCTGGTTTAGTCCTGGTTTAGTCCTGGTGTTAGTTCTGGTTTAGAGGCGCACAGGCGGAAGCGCGGTTTACGCGAGAAAACACGGTCCACACGCGGCGCACGAGACGGCGGTGTCCGCGCTGTAACTACGGAAGGAGACGTGGTCCGCGGGTTCTCAGGTTGATGACGATGATGAAGATGTGTGTTTGTTTGTGTTTGTGTGCACGTCCACTCATGTGGCAGGTCAGTATAGGACAGTAGTGCAGATATTATGAGTCTATGCAGGTTGTTTTCACCAGTGCCAGTAGCTCCTGTTTCACATTTAAGTTGTAGGCGATTTTGTATTTGTTTTTGTTTTTTTTATATATATCTCACATCGGGAGAAGAATTTCCAAGACACAAATGCGTTTTTACCAATGCACTCCTGCTTCCACTGTGTGACTGACACCGCCAACTTTAACATGATGTTTACATCGCTATTTATTGCGCGCGTTCTGTTTGGGTTTCCGGCAATGAGTGAAATTACCGAAATAAAAAAATAAATAAATGGGATGTAGCACAAAATGTGAAAACAGGAAAATACCGCCTTGTAATCCACTTATTTCAGCAAAGTAACTGTAATCCAATTACCACTCATTGAAACAGTAACTGTAACGGAATACAGTTACTCATAATTTGTACTCTGATTACGTAACGGCGGTACATGTAATCCGTTACTCCCCAACACTGTCTGTAGCCGGCGGGCAGCTCTAATACATATATGATATGATCTCACGGGCCAAATATAATTATATCACAGGCCAAATCTGGCCCCTGGGCCTGAGTTTGACATGTCTGGTTTATGGGGTCTTATACTTAACAGATCCCATATTTCTTCACTTCTCTACTCATTTCTGTCTCTGCACATGACTTTTTTAGTATTGATACCAGTGCAAATGAGAGAATTTTCTATGCTAGTTGTAGTATTGATTAGAATCTGTTTTTTGATACTAGTGCATACTGTCACTGTGTCTTTGGGCAAGACACTTCGCCCATCTTGCCTTTGTATAAATGTGGCGTGACTGCGAGTGTTTGGTAGTGGTCAGAAGGGGACGTCAATGAAGGGAGCTGTGGCAACAAAAGTTATTTCCCATCACCTGAAGTGAAATGTCCAAAACACTCATTATACATATATACATATAATAATATAGGCTATTTAAAATGACTTGAAACGAATAAAGTGATGAATCATTTCCCATTTCAATTTTATGAAAAGAAACAAACTTCCTCTAAAACAAATACACCCATGTAGAAAGATTTCTGAGAAGAGTTGTTGCTTACGTTGGCGAGAAAACGGTGGCTTGTTCACGAATGGTGGTTTTGGTATATTCACTTCACAGGGACGCTCTTGTTGGCCTGCAAAAACACAATGAGAGCATTAAAGCACATAAAGCACAAAAGCACAAAATAACTTCTAGTATTTCCTCAAAAAAAATTAGAAGGGAGGTAAAATTGAGAATAAAGAATAAAGAAGCATTGAGAATAAAGCATAAAGAAGCAAAGATGACCAAAAGACAGTGAACTGAAATCAGCAGTAACCAAAGTGTATTTCTCTGAGTGCATTTGCCTCCACCTATTGCAGGAGTGTCCAGACTTTTTGCACAGAGGGACACATCATCAAACACACAGGAATGATCCATAATGTGCATCCGTCAAATGGGTTTCTATAGTTTTGAAAGAGCCGTTGTTCCTTTAACATTCGTTTTAGGTCTGTAGCATAAAGAGATGTTATTGAAGCCCTCGAGCCATAGTTTGGACACCCCTGACGTACTGTATATAAAACACTAACAATACTTATGTTTTAAAATTAAAGTAGAGAATTTAAACAAGGCTGAAGTAATGATTTGGTGTTTAAGCTCACGTTTCAGCGCCAGTACAATGACCACGAGGAGCAAGATCAGACAGAGAGCGCCGAGGCAGACACACCCTCCTTTCCAGAGCCACGCACCCTGCACCACTGACCAACATGAACACAGTTTTAGGAGGAATACTCTGAAAATGTGTTTAGTTACAGAATACTAAAAGCTGCATTAACATGTATTTTGTAACATATTCTGATACATGGTCTAATCAGAGTACTGTATTCAGAGTACTACGAATACTTTTAGCACGAGTTGAATTTAAATTATAGTGTAAAAACATTTGCTTTCCATCACTAAAAAAAAGTGAATACATACTTTCAGTATATATAATCAGTTACTTTCCAATGCTGCTTGTACATATAGCTTAGTACTCTCTGAATTATGATTTATTGAAAAAATAATAATTTTTTTTCTTGACAAATCAGTGCAATCTTGCAGTATGTGATCATTTTCTGATCATTCATCAATTCATCTCTTATGGTATTTAAAGGTGCATAATGTAACTTTCCTGCTTGTCACCACGGAGACGTTATTGCATCGCCTGGAGTCGTCCTCTATGGCATCAAACACATTTCATTTGCATTTATTCACTTGCATGGGTTTTATAATCAATGGATTTTCACCTGCTTCAGTTTGTCTCCATAAAGACTGATTTAGTTAAATGCCATACTGTGGAACATTCCGGGCAAAGCAATAGCATTAAGATAAACAGGTGCTGGACCCTTCATCACAAAAGCTACATCGCGCACCTCTAAAATAATATAATTTTCTTGATTGAGCTGAAGCTATGTATGTATACTCAATAAGTAGTAACCTCCATACATTTACAACCTTCGGCAATTCAACTTTGAGAAGCAAATATTTCTACACAAATAACTACTGGTAATATTTTCCAATGGTGACAAGATACTAGATTATCATTTAATATTATTTAATTTAGTTTACCATTACTGCAAAAGTTTATAGTTTTATCTTTTTTAGAAAAGTACATTGCAAAAATTGTTGTTTGGGATTTTTTTTAAAATGCAAACAAAGATGAAATACCTTTTTTTTTCTTTGAAGGATCAGAGAGATACTTGGCTTCGGCATACAGGTCCTCAGAAGGGCTATTCAGTTTGGAGTAGAGGTCTGTCTCTGCTTCTTCTGAAAACAAAACAACAAAAAACAGCAGTTTGGTTAATGTGGTGTTACATTAACCAAAAGTCAAAGTCACTACAGTTCTGGATTTTCTTAATAACAATAATATTTCATTTATTTATTTTATTTTAGTAGTCCATGTGAAATAGCGCTGGACGATTTTGGATTTGTAAAAACATTTAATTGTGATTTTTCTGACAAGCATTGTGATTGAGATTACATTTACAATTTGTCTTAATGGTAAGATTCTGCACATTTGAAACATTTCCAGGAGCATTAATTTGAGAGAAAACTGAAATAAAAACGTATTAATAGAAGATATATTTCTTGTACCTTCAGTCTTGGCTTTGGGTTCACTTGTTCCCTCTCCACTGTCTGGCTCTGTCGTGATCGCCTCCATCTCCATCGCTTCTCTCTGCTCTTCTCTTTAACTGAAGCTTTCAGTTTTGTCTTTTCAAAACGCAGACAAGAGCGTATTAAGCAACACGCCAATCACGAGGCATAAATTCGATGCTAAAAAGAAGAAGCACCAAATCTAACATCACCAAAACTAAGAGAGGAGACGAGTGGTGAAGGCACTTCCCATTTCCAAATGCGCCCTTCCTCTAATTGTTTGATTTCCTGTAATTTTTTATATATGTTTTTATAAATTAATATTGTTTCCAAGATTAAGAATACACAATATTTATTGTAACTGATTATACCAGGGGTGGAAAAGGTTATCAACTAATGGCCTACTCACCCTAATATAACTGAGTAGATTTTGGAGTTATTGTACTTTTTTAACTGGATTTTTACTTCTACTTCGAGTATTTGCAATCTAATCAGTTACATTTAAAAATCATACAAGTTATAAGCACTGTACAAGTCCCAACTGTCCCGATCCACAGCTGTCTCTATACTGATAAACACATAAAAGGACAACATCACCTGCTCTGATCTAAGAGAATATGCAAATTGTGATTTACAACAACAATTTCACTGTTTTGTATAAAAGTATGATCTAAAATGTTTCTAAAACTGTGTTAAAAAGTAACTAGTAACTCAAGAATAGTATTTTTCAAGCATACTTTTTACTTTTACTTTTAATTTTGGCAGCAGTACGAGTATTTGAGTGCACATTATTAGCCATGTAACTGCACTGTTACTTGCAAACATTCAGAGCTCCTTCCACCCCTGGATGCGTCACTAAAAAAAAGGCAAGGGACAGTATTCCTTTATCATACGTGATATTGGGATTGTAAATTTTCAAGTATGTGCACCTTTAAAATGCAATAAATTACTTGATTGAGCAGAAGCTAGATACTCAACAAGCAGCAAGCAGTTTGGATTTAAAAAACAATGCAAATATGAAATATCATTTTTTTGCTCTGACGGTCTTGATGTTGGTATACAGGTCCTCAGAAGGGTTCTGTAGTCTCCCACCACTGGATGTGCTACTCTCAAAGGGACAAGGGACAGTATTCTTTCACCATATGTGATCATGATCCATTTTCAAGTAAAAAAAAAACAAAATTTTGAACCTTATCATGTATAGCCTACAGAATTAAGGACATGGTCCATTTTTATCTATTACTGATATACAAAATAAGCTAATATGTAAGTTACAATAACCCCGTAAAGTATTTCATATTTAGCCTATTTGAGTAAATACATATCTGTCAATGGAGAAATGTGTTTTTGTCGATTGCATTTATTTATCTGAACTACAAAGAAAATGTATTCCATTTGACAGACAAAAACTACAACTGACTACAAAATGACTAAACTACATCCATATGTGATGCTTGTCTACAGTATTCAGCAGTATGATTTCATGTTTGTCTCTTTAAGTTAATTAAAGAGACAAACATGAAGCAGACCAGGTTAAGTCAGATCTGTGTAGAGGCAAACCCGCTCACAGTAAGAATGCATATGTCAATGTATTTAGAAATAAACATCTGTAAATACATCAGAGGTTACCAGACCTTTTGTGTGCCTGTACCGGTCAGGATCCCATCAGTTTTTCGCGTAGTCTTCGCACTGGTCTATAGTAGACAGCTAAAGGCAGAACCACAGACTGTACAGACGGTCTGTGAACGCGCCTCGCCAAAGTTTTATCTCCCGCCTGAAGTGCGCGCTGTGCGTAATGACAGGAGGAAATCCTCCCGCTGTCTCCAGCTCCGTGTGCGAGAGTTGCGTTTACTTCCAACAACAGAGAGAAGACCATTCCTTTCCATTTGTGACGTAGAAATTCCAGCGCGTTTTGTTCAAGTGCGTTTATATTATAAATAGCCTAAGATAAACACGCATGCAGTGTAAACAAGTTGACTCTGGTCGTAAGTCAGTCTACAGATCGCTCAGAAAAAAAGGAAAATAATAGCTGCAACAACTGTAATTACGTGGGAATAAACGGATATTAAACTTATAAAAACAACATAATAAAGCAGGAATAATAAACTTCCAACTAACAGTAAAACTACGCATTTTCTTCGTTCACAGCTCCGCGACATGGTGAGAGGTCAAAGCTTATACCGTGGTGAAGTTAATTTCACGCCAGACGTTAGATATTCAGTTACGCATCAACAGCGGAGATGTTCATTACCTGTGCCCCGCTTGCTCGATCACGGTGCGGGGAGCTGTACACCAAAGCTCCGCTGAGTCCGCGGGTTAGGTACCGTCAATAAATTACCATTGCATTGAATGGAGTCTGCGAAATAAAAAAGGGATTTATGAAACATTTGTTATTTTTATGTATTTTGAGGGTTAATTAGTTAATGCATTTTTTCAATATCGTCCAGGTCAATTAATCTAAAAACACCAAACCAAGTTATTATAGTAGTCCTACTCCGCATGTATCACGCACACCTTTTGTTTTTCCAAATTAACCCTTTGTGGGATTTTAAGGAATTTTTTTCCTTGGAAATCTGTGATTTTTTTTCAATAGCTCCCACAAAGGGTTAATTTGGAAAACCAAAAGGTGTGCATGATACCTGAGGAGTAGGACTACTATAATAACTTGGTTTGGAGTTGGTAGGTCATCTACCTTAGAAGCTATTGAAAAAAATCACAGATTTTCAAGATTAAAAATTCCATAAAGGGTTAAATTGGAAAACTATAAGGCGTGCGTGATACCTGAGGAGTAGGACTACTATAATAACTTGGTTTGGCGTTTTTAGATTAATTGACCTGGAAGATATTGAAAAAATGCATTAACTAATTAACCCTTAAAATACATAAAAATAACAAATATTTTATAAAACGTACATGCACAATCCCTTTTTTGTTTCTTTTTATTTGATTCCCTTTTTCTTTTTTCTTATTTAATTTATTTTATTATTATTATTATTATTTTTTAGCAGACTCCATTCAATGCAATGGTAATTTATTGACGGTACCTAACCCGCGGACTCAGCGGAGCTTTGGTGTACAGCTCCCCGCACCGTGATCGAGCAAGCGGGGCACAGGCAATGAACATCTCCGCTGTTGATGCGTAACTGAATATCTAACGTCTGGCGTGAAATTAACTTCACCACGGTAAAGGTTATTCTCATCTGGGCAACTCATCAAAATTATTTCTCAGTTCTCCAAATCGATCTATAATATGTTCTCCAAAAAAAAAAAAAAAAAAAAAAAAAAGTCGTAGCTGTTCCCATAACTCACATTAAGGCTGCATCAGGGCAACTACAGGGAAACTCCAAACTCGGACTGGTTTAACAGTGTTTACAACACAGTCATAACGGAAGATCTGAGTAAAGATGGGCTTTCATTAAAACTAAGATGACCAGATGACCCTATTTACCCAGTCCCAGTTTTGCGCTCTGTGTCCCCTGTCCTAGCAGATTTCTCCAAAACTAGTTTTATACAAGAAATGTCCATTGTCACTTATTAAGGTAAAATATAAAAATAGCTACTTAAAATGACCAAAACACAAAGAAAATGTGACTATACTGACTCACATTAGGGCATAGTGCATAACAATTTTCCTTAATTATGCACTCGATTCACAATTTAATTGAATTATTACAGTGAAATATTGTATGTAAAATGTATGCTGGGGTGCAGGAGTCTGGCCTAAGTCTTCGGTCAGAAAAACTGCAGCGAAACACAGAGGTTTGAAGAAGAAAGTTTAATGATGACTGGGTTGTCTATGGATATGAGTATGTGTGTGGTTATCTATAACAAACAGAAAGAAATATACAAATGATTAGGACTGTACACACCAATAATTACAAATATATACAATAAACAATGCAAATGAACATATTTACAGGATAATCACTATTGTATGAAGAGTGGACGGTATTGGCCTAGAAGTGTACAGTATAGAGACAGTGGCTATGTCCAACAGGGAGTGTCAGAGATTACCTCATTACGAGATGAACAGTTAGTACAGAGTTGGATTAAGGGTGGATCAGGTGATGAACTGACAAATTTACAAGGAACAGATTAGGTTGGATAAGGCAAAAAATACTTGGTAAAACAGCACACCAAACTATATAGAGCAAGGTCCATAACAAGATACTTACTTTCATTTATGCACAAACATGAATATTAAACGGAGAAAGACAGACACATACCTTTCTCCTTGGGGCTCCCCCTGTGTACTGGCTACACAGTAAATTTTCAAGTGTCAAAATAACACTTATAAAAAGTAAAATTTTACTCTATTTCCGAGTGTATATGGTCCTTATCTGTACAGAGTAAGATTTACTCTAGCTTCAGAGTAAAATTTTTCAGTGTCAAATTTACACTTACAGAGTAAAATGATGACACTCTGTAGTGTTTTCAGAACTTTACTCTGGCAGATTATTTACTCTACACAGAGTGAATAGTACTAAAAGTAGTGTTCATTTTTTACTCTGTTGTGTTGCTAATAATGACGCTTATATGTGTTATTAAAATTACTCTAATAACACTACAATAGAGTAAAAATTACTCTTTGTAAGGGTCAAATTTAATCATCATATTTACTCTTGCAAGAGTTAATTTCACTAATTTATTGAGTAGCAGATTGAAATTTACACTACTAAATAAAACCACAAATTGCAAATATGTCAATTTATTGTTAAAACATTTAAATAAAACATTGACCAAAGATACAAAATTACAATAAGGTACAACATACTTGGATGAATCCAATGTTCCACACTTCAATTGAACATTAAATGGCTTATAGTAATACAACTTGTTCACTGTTAACACTTTTATAACTTTGTCTGGATGCCGTTGGATCTCAAAAGCATAGAAATGTTGGTCAAAATAGACAGTGTCACAGAAATGGCTTCTGTGTGTGTCTCACTTTGACAATTAAAGGACCCATATTACACTATTTTCTGATCTATGTTCTGTCCTCATTACAAATGTACCTGGAGTTGTGTTTTGTTCCATTCACAACATACTGTTCCACTTTGTGATGTCATGTGGCAATACATTAAGTGCTCCACTGTGTTTTTAAACTCCATACACCTTCACTAGAATCATTTGAGCTCTGAAATTTCCTGTCTACTGAACTAAAGATAAAAGGAGCTGTTAACTTGAAAACTACCACCTCATGATATGACAAGGTGGAACAGAACATTTTGAGAAATGGAGATGTAGACAGACCAAGAATAAAGGGTTACTCAAACATGTGTGAATGAAATGAAATACAACTAAAGGTATTTATGAGGAAGTGACAGCATTAGAACATGACTTAAATCTCACAAGAGTCAGTGTTCGTAATATAGGACTTTTAACACCAACATCTCAGACAACATCAGCCAATTCAGTAGCTAGTAAAGTATGGTCAGTGTGCTTGGCATTTAAGTGCTTTCTAAATCCAGAGAAGGAACCTACATAATCCAATCCTCAACACATCTAAGGCAAAAGGTTGTCTCTGGAAGAAACCCATGAAACTGTTTAATATGACTAGCAAGCATATTTGAACTCAAACTCAGCACAGCAAACAATGCACTTCATAGAAACATGAATGTTAATGAAGAAGGCAAGGCAAGGCAAGGCAAGGCAAGGCAAGGCTATTTGTATAGCACAATTCGTACACAAAGTAATTCAAAGTGCGTTACAGAATAAGAAATACATTAAAATCATAATAAAACCAAATCAAAACATAAATAATCATGAAGATTAAAATTAAAAAAGAGAGACATAAATTGGAGAGAAGAGTTCGGAATGAAAACCTTTCAGTTATATGCACAGTTAAACAGAAATGTTTTGCGCCTGGATTTAAACAGCATCACAGAAGAGTCTGTCTCACATGTTCAGGAAGACTGTTCCAGGTTTTAGCTGCATGAACCTGAAACGCTGACTCCCCTTGTTTAGTCCTGACTCTGGGCACCAGCAGGAGGCCGGTCCCTGAGCTCCTCAGAGTGCGAGATGGTTCATATGACACTAACATGTCACAGATGTACTTTGGTGCTCGGCCCTGGAGAGACTTGTACACAAGCAGAGCTGCTTTAAAGTAACCTTGCTCTTACCTTGCTGACATCAATACTGTAAATTGTGGTCTGAATGAATGTGTACATGTTGTACAACATGGTCTGGTATGATGTGCACAAAATGTGTCTTGAACAACTCAACACTTAAAGAAAAGTTAGACATACAGGGGATGAGTCTTGTCCAGGATAATGAAGTACTGGCTGATCCTGTTCCTTTGGGTGCCAAATGCAAGGCGAGTGCTTCAAGTGATAGTGTCGTGATGCTCTTCAATACTTGTGCCACACTGAAAAACAAAGACAAGATGATTAGTTTTTAAATAATAGCATAAAAGTGATCTGTAGACAGAAATAAAATGGAGGCAATTCTGCACGTCGGTTAATGACATCATAATAATGATTAGAAACAAACATCAATTTCAATGATATGATCAAGAAACTCTACACACCTTCTTGAAGACCACAAGATGTTTTTCTGCTTGAGATTCTGACATCTTCTCCATTTTATTACAGCCTTGAGCAAGATGCAGCAGAAGCAGCAAACTGAAGCAAAGCCACTAAGCCAGCCTTAAAACAAAAGCACACAATTACTTTACTTAAAAACAGAGGTTAGTTTTGAATTGAGTTTAAATTCTCATAGAACATTTGCATATTAACAAATAATTTGAAAAATTACCTAATAACCTACCAAAGTCAGCACCACCAGCAGCATCCTCCTGAGGATCTGCAGCCAACAGGAGGTCATCCAGCTTTGGGGTGGAGGGAAGCTTTATGCACTGCATGATTATCTTCTCTTCCAGTAAAAAAACTTTTACTATGGATTTTTTACACTGGGAAATTTACTGTGTACCTGTGCTACAGTACACATGTCAAGGAGGGGCACTAAGTACATCCTCTTAAACTAGGCATGGCAGTGTTACAGCAGGGAAATTTGCACAGCCGCCCACAAATTCAGTTAATGAATTTGTAATATGGCTACTGGCGGAGTGTAAATAGTCCCTTTAATGTCCACCTCAGTAGCTCAGATCATGCCGTTGTCACTGTGGATCATCTTGGTGACACGTCCTATGGTCCATCGTGCCCGTGGCAACTGTGGATCAATGACCATGACCACTTGATCCATACTCAAGTCTGGAGCGTCGGTGTGTCATTTCCTCCTCAGGTGAAGGTTAGGTAGGTAATTCTCGGTGTCATCATGTCTGGTGGCTGTTATTTATTCTGGTCATTTGGTTTTCAAAAGGGTTAAAAGCTGGATAAAGAAACATCTGAATTAAATAGGCCTACATGCAAAATAAATAAGAAATGTAATGTATATTGATCTTGATTGCATGTTTCTATTTTCTTGCTGTTTGTGACCTTTGTGTTCCAACACTGATTTACTGTAATAATCTTGTCTCATTATAACTGTAAGACTAGAAACTGAAAACCAAAACAATACAACATTTAACATTTTCAAATTTATTCTCAACAAAAGTTTACATTAATTTACAAAAAAATACTATGTGCATTAAATACAGATGACAGAGAAAGACGGGAGTTTCCGACACTTTTTTGATAACTTGGCTTTTTTTCTGTGCTTCTTTCTTGCTTTTTTCCACACATTTTCTGGTTTTAAAAGAAATCAACAAAATAAGTACTAATAATAAAAAATAAAAATCATGCTTACCCCAAAATACTGACACATGTTAACCCAAACCTTAAGCCATTCTCAATGAAGTAACGCATAGGGAATAATATAATAAGTAGTGTGTAGCATTACAAAGACTTAAAACGCATTTGTCCCTCCTCTGTCTTTCTCGTCTTGGCCTCTCCTCTCTTCACTCAGGGCTTGACTATAACACAATCCAGACATAGCAAAATACAGGTAGATTTTGTATACTAGTAGCCTACGTAAAGCCACAATTTTAGGCATTAGGAATTATTGTAGATCTTTGACGCAAAAAGTCAGATCTAAGTTAGTTAAAATTACAACAATTCTGAATATGAATTAGTCTTGAGTAACTTGGACAAGTTTAGATGCATTTGGTTAATAAATCTCCCCCACTTGTTTCAAAATGTCCCTAATTCACTGCATCTGTTGTTTAAACATATTTGAAATTGGGCTAAAATGATCTTGGAAGCAGTCAAAATGCTGTGATATATTTAAGGCCATATTAGCAATTCAAATTAAGCACATTTTAAACCATGCAGAAACCAAAACCTTTGCAGTGCTGGAAGATTATTCTGGATATTATCAAACAAACACGTAAACTTAAACTTTTAACATAATTTTCCTGTAGTAAACGCAAAAGGAATTACAATTATTTCTGACTAGTCTTGTCCTACATGTGAAGCAGAAGTCTGATTAGGTTCATTGGGTTTTCTTTCTTTGTAATTATACTATAGTTTCTTCAAGACACGCCTTTTGTTATCATCTCGACATTTGCAACAAAAACTGTCAAGGTTAAGTATCATATTGTATAATTATGCCAAAGAGCATTATACATAGATATTTTGTGGCTTGCAGACTGGTTAAATGGTGTAAATTTGAACCATGCGTTTCAAAGTGGACAGTGTTAAAGCCGAGCCCTGCGTGCGTCTCCGTCGCTTCAGCCGTACACGCTCTCGTTACTGTAGGTCATGTACAGGAATAAGTCATCCTCGTGGTGCTCCTGTAACACACACAAGAGAAACAGCTCAGCAAAACCAACACAACTTACACATATTAATAATGAAAGAATAGTAATTAGGCAGCAAGTGTAAGACTGCAACTATGTATCGGAATAATCATGACTAACTGACCACTAAAGTGATGGTTGACTATTTGAATAAATGTCGTAAAAGTGGTTATCTGGACTATACACTCACTCTAAAGCAGAAGTCAGAAGTCCTTTGATACTAAGAATTATACTTTGTTTTACTTATCAATATTTCACATCCTTTTCACAAATATCCTCCAACTTCAGTCAGCATATTTTACATTATTTGGTCAATATTTGTAAAAAAAAAAAAGTTCAATGTACAATAGAAGTAATTGACAACTTATTCTCTAGTTGATAAGTGCGTGGCTTTCTTCTCATACTGTATTTTATAAACAGAAGATTTATTCATAATTTAAAAAGCCATGTCACTTTGTCTTTTTGTCAATTCTTTGGAACGTGTGAACTTTGAACAGAAACCTATCAGTAAAACATAAATCTCAAAGCTAATAAAAACTGCAGTGCTTGTCAGAAAAGAAGAAGTATTCAGCCCTATTGCTCAAGTACAAGTAAAACGTCTAGTATGCAAAAAAAAATCAATCAAATTACTCAAAAAGAAACTCAAAGCATTGTAACTGAGCATGTAATTATTTTTTTTTTACACTCGGTGACTCGGTTCAGTGAGTCAAAGGTGAAGTAATGCTGCAGCCTCGTGTTGTTTTGAAAAGCAGAGGGAGTATATGCGCCTGTAAGCTGAAACTGACACTTCCCTGTGTTTCCCAAGATTAGCAGCTCTGCTCTGGTAAATACAGTGTTTACAATTAACATAGAAGACGATGGAAAGCCCCCACCAATTTGCTAATTTGCTAAAGTTAAAAACAAGCAATAAATGTATAATAAATGAATAAATATAACAAGGTGTAAGGGTGGGTGATAGTGACAAAAATTAATATCTATTTCAGTATTTTAACAGCACATCTGCACTGTGCTAGAATGTGCCAGTAAATCTCTTGGGTGAAGTTCAAGTATTGTGCAAAAAGTGAAGGGACCATAAAATTTGCCACAAAAGGGAAGAAAATATTTTTACTAGACATTTGTGTTCCTTTTTGTGGTAATTTTTTATCATTTTAATTATGGACAATTTACTCGATATTCTAATTTGGCATATCTCCAAAAAATAAATGGGATATTATACATTTTTAATAGATCTCCCACATCTAAACGAGTAATTTTGTACTATTTCAATGGTGGAAAGATATTTTAAAATGACTGACAATGTATGTGTGTATGAAATCCAATGGGCTGTAGCGACTTGCAAAAGTAATTGGGTTCTGCTTTCTGACTGGATAACTGGGTGAAGAACCAAAGGGAAAAAAAAGGCACATAAACAAATTACAAGTTTTTATAACTGAATATATTTTTATACATAAATATATATTTGATTTGAGGGTGAAGATTGTAATGTTTTGTAAGGAAAAATCTAACATGTATCTTTTATAACGATTCACAAGGGCCTCTAAAATGGTAGTGCCTATAGGGGGGACCTCATGTGAACTCTCTGTGTGTGCGTGCGCGTGTGCATGTGCAGGTCGGAGTCTACCTCGTAAACAGCGGAGAGAGGAGAGCTGGAGGGGGGAAGGGAATTGTTGACAAAGAAGAACAGCGCCTCCTCTGGCCTCAAAGACACACGCTGACGTATCAAGAAACACAACTGCCCCACTGAAAGAGAAGTCATGGGAAGGAGGGTTTGAAAAGATATTCATTTATTAAAAAAAGGAACAGAAACAACTAAAACAGTGACCAGACGATACACTGGCCATAATGCCATGCCCTTGTTTAATAGGAAGTAAGAAAAACATTATAATAGAACACACCAAATGATGATCTTGAGAACTGTGAGTTCTGTGCATTTTTGAGACATTTGAGACATGCAAACTAAAAAAATGTTAAATTGAAACTTGTGATAACTGAGATCACAATATAACTGTAGCTTAAAACAAAACAAGGAAAATATTTGGAGAATTGGAGAAATAAATACTGTGATATTTATTTAGTATACAACCTTTTGGTGAAAGTACTTTTTGTATGGATGTTTATCTCACAAACTTTATCATTCAGAAAGTAGGCTAATTAAAGTTAAGTGACAAAATTAAAGTAAAAAACTAATACTGGGCATTGTATTTTAAGTCCTTACAAATAAAAGCTGCAAAGTAACTTACCTGTTAAATCTGATGGAACTAGATATTTCTTTTTGTCCAGCTCTGGCGCTCTGGACCTTGGTGCTCTTTCCACAATGATCTGCATCAAACAGAGAAAGCATATGGTCAACTTTACGTATAATTTAACCACATATTTAGGTTACATTTTTGTGGTTAAAATCGTTGACTGACCGGTATTTTGTCTGGATGTTTGGCCCGGACTCTCTCTCCTTCAGCTCTCCTCACCTCCAGAGGCACAGACCGCTGGTAATGACTGCCCATCTGAACAAAAAAGCAGTTTTTAAGATCAGTAGCCATTACGCAGTACATAATATTGTAGAAAAATAATGCAACTAAACTCAGCAAAATGTAAGACCGAGTGTATATTTGCTGTAAGTACTTTTTGCCAATTCAAGTACTATCACTCTACAACTAAATCAGGTGTCAAATTAAAAACAAAAGCATTAGAGATATAATGATAAAAAGGAAACTGAAGCTAGCAAATCAAACTAAACCAAATTAAAAGTTATAAAAGAAGTTATAAAATGTCTTAGTAGCACCAGAAAAGAAACCAAACTTCCCTTTTGCCTCCCATAAAAAGCTGACAATGTCATTGAAAAAAGGTCAAATGTTTAAGTGAACAAAAAGGCACTAGCTACTTTAACCAAGTCATAAACAACTTTTGAGCCCAGGACATGTTTTATTTTAGTTCTGGTTTAGTCTAGTTTATTCCCAGTTGTCATGTGTGTGGCTAAGGGTGAACAAAAGGCCTTAACATAAACATCAACAGCAACCACAGTAAAGCGACCAAATGGAGTTTATTTACAGTCATTGCACATTCAAGCTGAACTATGCAATTTTTCTGCTTGAGGATCCACCACTTGGGCTGGGTATCATTAAGAAGTTGCTGATATGATACATACCTCGATACAAAGGCCACGATACGATACATATCTCGATACAGTGCATTTTTGATTCAATATGATATGTTACAATTTGATTGATATGGTTCAATAAAAAATAAAGGCTAAATCATGGCTGTGATACTAAAAGTCTTTGTTAAACCACTTCTTGTGCAAAGTGAATATGAAACACACCCATTTTACTCATCAAAACAGTGAAAATGTCAAATGTGTTGTATAAACGAGTTTCCCTCCTCTGAACAAGCAACAAAACTGTAGTGCTGTAACAAAATAATTGAGTAAAATATACCAAAAAACACTCTTGGTAATATATCGATACATCAGCCCACAATATTGATACTGTATCATCACATTAAGTGATACAATATATCGTTATTTCAATATTTTTGCACACCCCTATCCACCACTTGTTTCTGTTTGCCTCCATGGAGATGTTATTGCCTTACCTGGAATATTCCACAGTATGGCATATGCATATTTATCTATACAGAAGGTGTTTTTATCCATGCACATGAAATTGAACAAATGCGAGATAGGAGTTAAAAAAATTCAAGATAATGCAATAACAACTCAAAGGATACAAACATTTAGTAGACTACTGAGCTAAAAAGTGAGACATTGCTGGTTTAAATTGCGTGTTTACTTTCCCTACAGCTTATAATGTTCAGAGGAGCAGAAAGCATGTGCACGTCCCCAGCTGTTACCGTCAGACCACGCCTCTCGCAACAATTCAACAAGATTTACAAAACCTATAATAAAATACACATCAGCTTACTTTTCATATCAATCCACTATGAACTCCTACATTTGTTTAAAATATGGAAATTGTGGCATAAACGGTATTTCCTATGCAAATTGTGGAGCAAGATTGTGATCACCCACCCATAGGCCTAATCCCCCCTGTTCTCCTCTGTTGTTGAAATGTTTGGTATTTTCGTATTTACTTGTAAAAAATAAATAAATAAATAAAATAAAAGGGATATTTTGTCTTTATTAAGTCTTGATTTTAGATATTATAAAGGCCCCAGCTAACGCCACGTCACTTTATCAACAGCAGTACACATGTTTTCTACTAAACTATTATTATGAGCTTGTTATACAGTATATATAATAACAAAACAACTATCCAAAGTGTAATTACCTATAAATATGTCGTGTCTATAATTTACATATGAAACGTGTGTAATATTTTGCCAAATCATCCTTGTGATCAGAAATCAGCTGTTTGCTCCAAGGCTAGCCCACTCAGACAATGCCAAGCAAAGCGTATTTTCGCACGAATAAAACGCCAATTTCTTACCTTTGCGGAAGAGAAATGATACAAAAGGCGATATCACAACGCGATTTGGTCCCACGTGTTGATTTCTAACACACAGCTATGGTAAACACTCAATAATTTGGCCTAAAATCTGCACATCTCGAGGAGAAAGCCGTGCGCGTAAAGATGTCGACTGTACCACTTCTTTTGCTCCACGAAAACAACAACAAACCCCAAAGTCCCGCCTCTCTCTCAGCTGTGGCCAATCAGAAGCAAGACTCTTCCCCGAACTGGAAATTTTAACCAATCACAGCAAGCCAACATGTCCTGGCGCAAATCTATTGGTTAATTTACGTGTCATTTAACTATCGAACTCGCCCTATATTTAGTGATTGACGGATTTTTAGCCAATAGTACGCTTCTAAAAGTGTTCCAAACGTTCTTTATCTCCGCTTGGTCACGCCCTACAGTCACGTATTTGTCATTGAAGCTACGTGCAGAGAGTGTTTTCTTTTTTCTTTTTTTTAAATGTACTATGGTAAATTTGATGTGCACACTTTGTACTAAACTTTGGAAGCACAGCATTTTGATCTTTGCGCATAGTTGTGTGCACAGAGAGGTCATTTGCACACATGAATGAAGTTATTTTGACGCATTCCAGCACAAACTTTCAGGAGCCTTCTTATCTCTGTTATTCGTGAATAGATGTAGTTAAAAATTTCATGTCAGTGCCAAATTTGTCTATAGAAAGGTATTAAAGTAATCAAGTGCCCACATTCTAGTTGACAACGTAATTATGTAGTACTTTGTAATTGTAACGTGTCTGAAATTGCCAACTTTTATCTAATTTATAAGCCTGTATTGTTCATAATTATGTGGTCACCTTTACCCCACATATGTAAATTAAGTTGCCTAATTATTGAAAAGAACAACAACAACAGCAGCAACAACAAAACATTTACATACAATTTACACAATCAGTGTTTATAAATCTTTAATTTACTGAAATGTTCAGTTAAAAGTCTGTACAACATAGAAAATAAACTTTGTTCCTGACATGCAAGACAATTAAAGTTCACAAATGCACAGAACAGACTTGGCAATATTAACTGTCCATTTCTTAATTACAATTGTCCTGCATTTAAACAACCCTAAAATATATTTGTTCAATAAAATCTCTTGATCCAGATCTGTACAAAGTCTTTCAAAAGCTTGTTGATATCTTGAAAACATGTCTCAACAGTTCAGTGTTGCCCTTAGGCGGCTTGGAGACCGACTCTTTAAGAAGCACTATGACATAATTCCACTTGATACGTTTCTCTGTAAAGTTCAAACAGAAATTTGAAGCCTATTTGGAGCTATTTAACGCTTAAAGAAAACATGTTATTCTTTTCAGATCATTATTTTACATTTTGTTCATTGTAAACCCCAATATTGATCTAAATTTATTTACTGGAAACAGATCCATTCACTCAAAACTGCTCAACTAATTCACTGCTGTTGGCCCATATTCATATTAGAGAAACATATTAGAGTTTAGCTGTAGCAAACAGTTGGTTATGGTGTTTTTTTGTTTGTAAAAAATGCTACAAAACATTTGGCAACCCTTTAAGTATGGCCCTGAGTCTTAATTTATCAAAGAATCAAGAATGTAAGTACATGTGAGTGGGGATAGGGGGTAGGTGAAAACAATATTTTTTGAGCACTCAAGTCTTGAATGCAACTTTTAGTAAGCTTATTACACAGAGAAAACCATTATAACATGGTTTAAAGCTTATAAAAGTTGATTTCACGCAATATGTCTCTGTTAATAATTAATCTTAGGCATTTCGCACTGTCCATGGTCAAACGCAGGTTGACCCCACACAGTTCAAGCTTGTGCTGTTGCCGTGGTGATTTTAAGAGCATCTAAAAGGTTGCGTTGTCGAATTTCAGGAATACTGATGGTGTCCAAATGAGACTCTGGGATCCATCCGCGGTGTCTGTCGGATAATCTGGTTCCCTCAACCCAATCTGCAGGGAAAAAAAAGGCAGAAGTGTGAACCATCTGTAGCCTACAATACAGATAAAACAAGCTAGACAGGGAATGAACCAGGACCCAAACCAGGTCTAAACTAGGACTGTTCCAGTTCTAAACCAGGTCTAAACTAGGACTGTTCAGTTCTAAACCAGGTCTAAACTAAGACTGTTCCAGTTGTAAACCTGGTCTAAGCTAAGACTATTCTAGTTCAAAACCAGGTCTAAAATAGGACTATTCCAGTTGTAAACCTAGTCTTAACTAGGACTGTTCCAGTTCTAAACCAGGTCTAAACTAAGACTATTCCAGTTGTAAAGTTGGTCTAAACTAAGACTATTCCAGTTGAAAACCTGGTCTAAAATAGGACTGTTCCCGTTCTAAACTAGGATTATTCCAGTTGTAAATCTGGTCTAAACTAAGACTATTCCAGTTAGAAACCAGGTCTAAATTTAGGACTATTCCAGTTGTAACCCAGGTCTAAAATGAGACTAGTCCAGTTCTAAACCAGATCTAAAATAGGACTATTTCAGCTCTAAACCAGGTCTATAATTGGACTATTCTAGTTCTAAGTCACGTCTGAACTTGCCAAATTATTCCTGCATTCCACCAGAAAAAAAAAACACACGTCCCTTCATAATAAAACATGCAACAATGGCATTATGTAACTTTATTGATGGAGCGAGAGCCATCTGATTGTCTCTTGCAGGTGGGGTCACAAAACCAGGTTACAGATCAGATCTGTGGAGAGGCAAGCTTGCCTCACTCAGAGATGCATTTATCAAGATATTTCTTTAGCAATAGCAACACTTGTAATTGAAAAAAACAAGCTTAATGGAATACTGTGGAACTGTGTGAACTGAAAAAAACTAAACTAAACTAACAAACAACTAAAAACAAAAGACTTACGGTCGCTGCTCTGTTGGTGAACTAAAATGATGTCTGCTTTGTCTAAGGAGAGCTCGTCTGGTTGCTGTCCGACGAAAGCTCGTATGCACTGCATCTGTGCAAAATCTGCAAACAGAAAAAAACAGTTCAAGTTAATAGATGCTTTTGGAAAATAAGTAAGAAAATACAATTCAGTGGAGTTCAATCCATCAACCTGTGTCATACAAAGTATAAAATAGTGCAGACAGAATCAATATTTGTTTCTCTTGTTAATCTAAAGTTTAAAGTTAGATAGCCAACCTTTTCAGTGCAATCTTACTCCACTGACCAGTCATGAAGACCTACTAAATACTTCAAAAATCTAAACTATTTAATCCAAGCTTGTTTATATAGCACATTTAAAACATATTTAGCTGACCAAAGTGCTTCACAAATAAGTCATTAGCAAAAGACAATGCACAATTAACAGTAAACATAGAAAAAGCATGATTAATCTTAACACATACTAGTGGAGGCATTCCTTTTATGTGAGGAGTATTCCAGGAGCAGTAGAGATTTTTCACAGGAAAAAGCTAAACTAATGTTAATATTTATTTTTTGAACTAGGTCAATGAGCTGGCCTTTCAACAAGCACCAACATCGTGGTCACGTTACTCTACTAAATAAACTTTGTTCTGAAACTCTAATGTTTGAGGTCTTATGTGTTCTTATATAACTCTATATGGGAGAGTCACGTTTTATGAATGAAACAACAAACTTAAAATAACAAATGTTAAACCAGATTATTATGTGTTAGAGACTGGGTCCACAAACTTAATACCTGTGGCTTAACTTCCTTTAAACAGAGGAATTATGCATTTGTGCTTGAATAATGTCACTACTTAAAAAACATGAGACAGTTTTGGTTTCTTGTGGGTAGGTCCAATAATTACAGAGATATTAATAACCATAAACCAGGTCAACAAATCTGCAATTCGACATTTAAAAGCAAAACCAAAGAATCCAAGCCCGCCCTCCAGCTCAGTGTTAAACTGTTTCACATGATAACACAACCTTCTTTAGGACAATAAGATTTAATACAGATGGAGGCAGCTAAAATTAATATTATTAAAACACAAATTTCTGTTGTAATGGTTCTAGTCGTTACTAAAAATGACCAAGGTTCAACATATGTGAAGTTACCTTTTCAATATTTCATTTACAAGTTTAATTTTATAGATAAGAAAATCTGGCTCTTGCCCCCTATTCCAGTTAGAAACGTGGTCTAAACTAGGTCTATTCCAGTTCTAAATCCGGTCTAAACTAAGACTATTCCAGTTCTAAACCTGGTCTAAACTAAGACTATTCCAGTTCTAAATCCGGTCTAAACTAGGACTATTCCAGTTGTAAACCTGGTCTAAACTAAGACTATTCCAGTTCTAAACCTGGTCTAAACTAAGACTATTCCAGTTCTAAATCCGGTCTAAACTAGGACTATTCCAGTTGTAAACCTGGTCTAAACTAAGACTATTCCAGTTCTAAATCCGGTCTAACCTAGGTCTATTCCAGTTGTGAACCAGGTCTAAACTTTACCTCTTTAATAATTCATACGCAAGTTCAGTTTTATCGATACAAAAATCTGGCTCTTGCCCCCTATCTGGGAATTTGACACCATCACAAATCGGAATCTGAAAACTACCAATGGACAGTCTAAAATACTGTGATGTAATGCGAAACAAAATCTATTTAATGTCATGATACTTTTTTGTTCTTCTTGTATAACTAAAGTAAAAGTTAAATATCATTAGATATTCTGACCTTGTGCGGTGGAAAAGTCCACTTCAGGATGTGGTCGGGACAGGGCTGATATCCATCGTAGCTTATCACTCCTGCGCACAGATAGACAGTATTCAGACTAATTTAACATTTTTCACACACATACTTTTAAAGATACCATTTGTAATTATATTGGTCAACCTGGAGCAGTTGCATTCTCACATTTCACCACTAGATGCTGTCTACGTTATTAATGTGCCTGCTTTGGTCTGACTGGTAAAAAGCAAATAAATGTACAGATGGTAGCTTTAAATAGTGCAATTGTGATTTTGTAGTTTTGTAATCTTCTATTCATTATGTCACAATTGGACAATGCAGTTTTTCTAGTACAGTTTCTGATACGCAATCTGCCTGTCTCCATGTGGATGTTAGTGCTTTACCTTGAATGTTCCAAAGCATGGCATTAAATCGTCTATATTTCTTCAATTATATGGGTCAAAAAGCACCTGTTACAGCCCCAGGACTCCAGTTCACCATTTATTTTGTTTGTGA